CGATACACGGGAAGATCCTTTAATGGTTCCGTAGAAATTTTTATTGCGTTTTTGTAATCGTGAACCTGTCTGAAGACTTTTTCGTAACCACGGAACTTTTTTTGAGAGTTCAGCAAAGCACTAATTTTTTTTAGAGTGTTCGCAGCACATATAACTCTCGGATAAAATCCGAAGTTTCTGCATTTATTTTATTTTATGTAAAAATCAATTACATATTAATTCCAGTATGACTTTCGTTTTATATGTATTTGCTTTACACAGCTTCGGAAAATATGGAATCTAAACTTCATATGAACTAAAACTTTCTCAAACACTAAATCTATTTCTATGAATGACAGACGGTAAAGAAAGTATGAAATGAAATTCTTATACACTGGGGGTAGACAAACTCTAGCTCATGAACTTCGTTCAAATGAACTAAAGAACCGATAAAACAGCTCATTTGAACAAATTGAACTGTTAGAACAGTTCACTTCGCGAGCTGACCTTTATTTCAAAAAGTGAGCGGTTCTGAACTAGAATGAACTTTGTCTACCCCTGTTACACACTTAATCTTCATGTATTATTATTTTATTTTAGTGGTAAACAATCGACGATTTATCTCTAATTCATTTCATAAATGCGAACTTTTTCTTCTAACTTTCAATTTATTTCCATCGATTCCTCCCACTACTGACGAACATAAACTTCGTAAACAGCGTATTTCTACAAGATTGTTTATTTCTCTTTTAACAATATCATTATCCATTCTTCTTTTATATAATTCATTGATCAATATTGCACAGACTATTCAGGTGGAAAAACCATCTCCTCAACAATATTTTCAACTTTATCATAAATATGGTCAAGCATTAACATGCGATTGTACAGAAATATCTATCAACTATAAAAAATTCATTGATATTCAACATACTTTACATCAAGTATGTCAAAGTGATTTTGTCACACAAAAATGGATCAATTATCTTAACATACCCTTTGGTGACGATCTGGTAGATGGCACGAACTTTCGAGTGGTAGGGTCATTTATATTTCAAGTTTTAAATACATTATGTTCCCTTGTGAATGAGACAATATCAAATCGTTTAACTCAATTCTATTCAAATCAATATATAAGTGCGTCTTTGATACCATCAGATGTATTGGAATCTCAAACTAAAACATTCATTTCTCAATTTATATCATCATCAATTAACGACTTTTTATTATCATTGAGTATAATGCGAAATACCACGCAAAGCAATGCTTTAGTTTCTGCACTATTTACTAATTTTAAGTTCGAATATGACTCAAAATGGAAATTCGTGGATTCATATTCCCGTATATTTAGTGAATGTGCATGTGCTGCATCAGCTAGATGCGTTGTTGCAGCCACAATCCCTGATTTTTATGATACAAAACCACTTTTTTCAATACCTGGTCTATATGTTGGATGTTATGCAATTGAAGCATTACTTCAATCGAATCTTCAATGTTTTTATGATAATAATTGTGTAAAGAGATTGAAATCCTATTTCACTGAATCTATACCAATGAATGTTACAGCTCTTAATGTATCGTTATCTAATCATTTTCGGATGAATTCAACAATTGAAAGTATTCTTAATGAATTGATGGTTGAAGAATGGAAATCATCAACTACATATGAAAAATATTATAATGAATGTCAACCAGCCATATGTAGTTATACAGAGTTAGCAAAAAATGGTGTAGTTTATATTGTAACCATAGTAATTGGATTAATTGGTGGTTTGATTACTGTTCTGAAAATTTTAGTACCCGGATTAGTTACGTTTATAAGCAATATGAAAAGGCGCCAAAGTACACGTATTGGTAAGACAAGAAATAGGTTTGCTATGATTATCTAACGAAATCTTGTCAGTTTTCTGATTTCATGTTTAAAACTTCTTTAACATTGCGAAAAAGTAACGTTCATCTTATACGAACTGAAACATAATGAGCTTAAAGGAAGAGCATGTTATTTTGATGATATGAGATAAATTCTTTGGAATATAAATAATCACGATACTTATTATATAGCATAATCTTACTTCAGTACAGTAGTGTCAAACTCGAAAGTTGAATTCAGTTATTCAACTATTACTTCAGTTATTCAACTATTGTACTTGAATACCTGAAGTTTCAGTTATTCAGTTATTCAGTTATTCAACTATTGTACTTGAATACCTGAAGTTTCAGTTATTCAGTTATTCAGTTATTCAACTATTGTACTTGAATACCTGAAGTTTCAGTTATTCAGTTATTNCTTTTGCTAATAAAGCTATTGTTGGACAAGCTCCTAATACTCTTTTGTGAATACAAATAACGCAATTTAGTGTTAATGAAAACACAAAACAAATATTAATTTGGTTTAGGGCATGTCCACGTAAAATGGCACTTCTCTGATCAAGCTTCAAAATTTTCTTTGTCGATAACAACACTTCTAATTAGTACTTTAGGTGCAGTTGTTAATGCTGATTAGGAATCTGACATTTATTTTTCTGAAACATGAGTTTTTTGTTTAAGAAATAAGATATTCAACTTGTTGAAAATCGTATATTCAATGTTCTTCTCAGAAAATTTCTCTAGAACATGTTCCTAGACATCCCATTCGACGCAGAATTTCATTCTCTACAAAATGAGGTATTTAGTTCTAGTTTTTGTGATCTGAAGAGATTTCTGAACTCCAATCAAGTTCACGACTTGTTGCCCATAGTACCACCTTCCACGTAGGTATATCGATCTCATTCTTGGGTAGAAATCTTAACAATACAAAGAAGACTAACATTTTAAAAAAATCATGTCATTTTAAGTGCTTGAAAGGTTCGAAAAACGATCAGCAAAAAACTGTGTCACAGCGTTATGTTTGTATTTCTCATTGTTTCTGCGAAAGGGGACAGTGGAAAGAAAATCTTTTTTAGTATGAAAAAGCTCATTGAAAGCTCTACAAAAGAAACGTCTCTGATATTTAATTTGAACGATATCTTTCGACAAAATTGACGAGGGAAATGACGCACTGCAAGTTTGAGGTCCTTTTATGTCACGCCGTTACGCGACCCTAAAACTATTGCAAAGACACGAAACTTAAATCTAAACCATTGACTTTTCTATTACTGATAGAGGCTAAAGAGTTGCATCTAATAGCGTATAAATAAGTTCCCTAACTTTTGTAGTTTTCGAGAAAATGGGAAAGCAATCTGTCAAAATGTCACAACGTTACGTTTGGACAAGCCCTCTAGTGGAAATTCTAATCAAACTAAAACTAATATTCTTATTACTATATATTCATATTCATTGTTTATAACAGACGCTGATGATATTTTTATTGATTAGGGTTAATCGTATGGTCGAGTTGATAAATCGATTTTAAAAAATAATTTTCTTGTCAATGTTATGAAGGTTGATCAAAATAATTCTTTATATTGTTCAATGTGAGAGAAACATATAATAGTGAAAAGATGGTTAAATGATAAAATAATGACAACAATAATTGTTGCTGGAAATGGTATTATCGGTTCTGGTCCATATCAGCTTTCTACTCTTGCAGGAATCTTTGTTGATATGAATTCTGATTTATATGTAGCAGATACTTACAATCATCGTATTCAGTTATTTGAATTAGGAAAATCAAATGGAATGACAAAAGCGAGGCATGGTAGTGGCGTAACCAGGGCTGGGCTAGGCCGGGCGTCGTATGGCCACCGAAAAAAATAAAAAATTTGATAAATTTGTTAAGACATTTCTTTTTTCTTTATATTCCAAAGCTCAAAACAAAGAGATAGTGGTACCTGAGTACTTAAGCCTTAACACGCTGACAAGTAACGAAAATGAATCGCTGTTCGCTTTTCGTTTCTATCTACATGATAGATAAAAAGAAAAATCATTAGTTATTCTATAAATAGCGAAATAGAAACAGCTTCATCTGGTTTCTCAATGGAGAATAGTCCGACAAAGCGCAAATCAGCAACCATTCAGTCTATATTTTGTTCAGAGACTACAAAAAAAACGAAAGAATCCAACGCTTCTTTAGGGGCGCGAAAATCGCTGATTACTCAGATATTACAGATTAAGTTCCCCTCCTACTAAACAACTTATCTCGAATTAGGGATATGCAAATTGATTGAAGTTCTCAGGGATGTTGGTACTACAGTGAAGAAGTTATGATAAAAATTTCAGCTCTGTACCATGTCCTTGAAGGGAGATATTGATTGAACAAGAGTGAAAAAAGAGTCTATCTGGGGACGCAAATTCGTCGATTCCGACTCATGCTATAATCTTAAGTTTTTTTTGTTAGAAAGAGCATATCAAGATGCAGAGGATGATGAAAGCCGTTTTTAAAAATCGTACTGTTTATGTGAAATAAAAAAGTAACAAACTAAATAACGTCAAAATATCCTGTGAAAAAGGGCATCTATCCATACGAGCAATTTCATAAAAATCAAAACAGAGGTTCCTTTGGAAAAAGCCTCTCATCATCCTCTGCACCTTGACATGCTCTTTTTAACAAAAAAATATTTAAAGATGTAGTCTCAGTCAGGCTCGAGAAATCTTGGAACCCAGATAAAAAAAACATTTCCCGTTTTACCTGAAAAGCATATCTTTTTTCATCAAAATCACAAAAAATATTGCCCAAAACTAGGACACTAAATCAAAACTCATGCTGTTGCTGAAAGAGTGAAAGGCGGGCTATCTTCCCATGCATTTATTTGTATTTTGAATTTTTTTACAAAAACCGACCTCTTGATCTTGGAGTGGGGAGACGAAGCTTAAAACGTTATACTGTATAACTAAACAACAGTACTAGCATACAAAAATTGAAGGAAACACTTTTAAATGCTAAATTCAGAACTGTGCGTACGACCGGTACATGCTCAGAAAATGAACGCCGTTTTCTACTCCCTTCAGTTTTTAGATTTTACTTTTTGCACATTGAAACAGAAAAAACTTCCATGTTGAGAAGTACGGGCCGAATCCAGTAGGTGAATTCATCCGATTTTCTCAGGTATAGAAAGGAAGTGAGCAAAACTGGCCACAGAATCCGTTCAAAGGATTCGTGCTTTCCTTTTCGGTCGATTTCTGATGTCTTCCTGCAGGAATGATACGGTTCTTTATTACATACAAATAGTAAAGAATGTCTATGATGAATATAAAAAATTATGGCATTCATGTCAATATGGTTTACTTTTGTTTTTAATTTACATGGACGAGAATTTCTAAATTTCGTTTCAAATTGAGATAAATCGCTAATTCGATTCAAGTATTAAACTTCTTCTTCGAGTACTCTAGCTTTAAACTATTCAAATATCAAACCTCATTGTGGCACGCTCATGGCGCACCCTTATGTTGCACCCTCAAATTTAATAGATGAATAGTTTAAAACTCGAATTGGCTTTTCGACTAATACACCTATGCAAGAAGGATAGTGTAATGATATTGTGACATTTTGTAATGTAACCCATCGGATGCTCATATCACCTCAAAAGTATTAATAATTTCTACGTACTAGATACAGTCAATTATAAAGAAATATATAGCTAATATTTTTTTATCCACACAGGAAAGAAAAAAATATAGCAGGATTTTGTCAGAAATCTAACGGGTGTCCCATAATGAATTATACTGTTTGTATTTTTAACATTTCTCGTCTATTATCCCTATGATTAAAACACTTTTTGTCGAATGATAGTCCTTGAAATTCTCTACAAAACTTTATATTACTAGAACCAAAAAGCTGTTTTTGTTCTATTTGAAAAATTATGAAATGTAATGACATATAAAAAACCCGCACAACATAGCGAGTTGGGCATAATGAATGATCGCGCTTTGCGTTCCATTTTTTATCATTTACTTTGCATTATCCGAAAAACAGAATATATCAAAAGATGCAGCATGAAAGCGCCCAGGTTTACAAATTCGACAACGAATCCGGTCATCCTACATAATCCTGCTGGATTCCCCATGACGAATTTGCATTAGATTCCGTCGGGAAAAGCCAGCGAACGCTGCAAATTTTATAAGCGTTATTTCTAGCTATATTGTATGACGGTCCAAAGCGTACTCATCGGATCCGTCTGTCGGAACCCGAAACGATTTCGTCATCAGGATCCGAGTATAGGATTGGTGAACCTGGATGTCTACAATTTATAAAGAACAAATTATAAAAAGAGCAAATAAGTAAAAAAACTTTAACTTGTACCAGAAAGGTATGTCATTTTCGCACAGTCGAAATTTAATGGCTTAATACTTTGTCTATTTCGAAAGAAAAAATTACAAATATTATAGACTAGGCGGTCTTATTTCAGAGGGCTTAACGATTTCCTAATATTCCACTATATCGATCGATTTCTCACAGATAGTGCTCACCTATACAATTTCACAACAATCACCTACCCAAACAACACAAGATTCCACCGGATATAGCATACTGACTGCAGATATCGCTTGTTTCAGCAACAGAAACCGGTTCAAATCGTTGAGCGATTTCTGACAGAAACTGTTTTCTCCAGCAGATATTTCCTCTGTCATGTCAGATATTTCTCTCTACAACACACGACTCAAGCGGATATCGCCTACTGGCTGCAGATATCGCTTGTTTCAGCAACAGAAACCGGTTCAAATCGTTGAGCGATTTCTGACAGAAACTGTTTTCTCCAGCAGATATTGGCTAATGACTACAGATAATTTTGTGTTTATCGAAAGGGTTTGACAAAGGATGCTCGTTAACGCTGAGGGGTAGTTTTGGTGGGGCCATATCGGGTTAATTGATGGCGAAATTTTTGTTGATTCTATATTTTGCTAGTTCTTGAAGATATGCGCAGTTCTATCAGTTTCATAGGAACATGTTCACGTGAAGAAGAAAGTTATTTTCGCCATCGTTTTGCGTTGCGTCGGTAGTTGGAAAGTTTTATGCGTTGAATTTTCTGAGCATCCTCGCGTATCGTGTTCGCGATAACAGTCCAGGGGTTGTGGAAAAGAGATGGAGTTGTTTCTGGAGGAAGTAGTGGGGGATCGCGTTTCGAAGATAGTTCATCTGGTTTGTGACATACAGTGGTATCGTTGGAAAGGACGTTATCTGATGATTTGGACGTTGTCGGTGCCTAGAAAAAATTTTACTCAAGAACTGCTATAAATTGTAGAAGATGAATACAAGCGCCATCGCGGGATTAAGATGTTGTGCAGGCATTTGGTGAACTAAATCGAGATGATCGGTTCTATTTTTAATCTTCATGTCTGACAGAGTTGTTGAATCGGCTACGTGGGCAAGACAGATATTCTTCACTTGTGGAATTTTCGAAATCTAAGGAAAATATGGATAAATGAAGAACACGAGTTATGAACAAATATTCACGATCTCGAAAGTTCGAGTTGGTCGCACATTTTTTCGTTCAAGATTTTTATTGTGGAATAAGATTAGCATAAACGATGCACTTCTTCTCCATCCAAGACAACTTAGGATATTCGCGTAACCTTTCAGCCAAGAAAATAACTGTTCGGCTGCTTCCGTATTGACACCGTCGAGCACTAAAATAGAGGGTATTTTTCGGAGGATGTCAAAATATAAATAACGCTACATCGATTGTTGTCTGGATTCATGTTCTTTCGACACCAGCGCCCCACGTGGTTTTTGAAGTGAACGCGATCTATACTGAACGGCGTCCGCTTCAGAACCATCGATGCTGGAGTCACAGCCAGATCAACGTCAAAATGATTCTGAAGATACTCTGCCAGATGACAGCCATCATCGTACACAACAGTTGGTGGGAAACAGCCATCGGATGCTAAATAAAAAGTAAAACAGTAATCGTCATTTCCGTTAAACTTTTATGTATATGTTTTGGTAAGAACAATTTCCAGTATGTAATGCCCTAAGAAACTGTGTTGCGTACCTCGAATGGTGGAGAATAAAAGCGACAAAATTTCACGAAGTGTTTCGCAGCGAAATAATTCACTAAATGTCACAATGATCTTGCAGTTTGTCACACCTGCAATGAGTCCAAAGGATCGACTACACCGATTCACGTATGCGTCCGGCTTCGATTTCCGTGTACGACAACTTGTTGCATCCAAACCAATGTGACTACGCCGACGCCATTTCTGTCGATAAGTACTTAACGAGCTATGCTGTTTATTTTGGCCGATCGATGATGAAGATAAATCGTCAACCAAATGTTGATCCTGATGTAATTCACAGTATTGCGAACCGCGAATGGGCGTGCGACAGCATCCAATCTTCAAGGAATCAAATTCTTCAGTACTCACCATCACCTGCTTCGCTCGGCACACTCTTCGTCGACACTTCTGATGACCATCCATGACAATGCAACGGCAACAGTCGATACCACAGGCACCCATCAATGACGCATGATTTGACCATAAGTAAACAAACGATACGAGCCGATCCGGTATTGTGTCCCACGCCCACTGATCAAAAGCACCAATCGATGATGGAACATTCACTACTGTGTTCCCAACACAAAGATCAAATTGAATCGTTTTATACTTCATAAATGCTAATGACAATCGCAACTGCCAACTGTTTCGCTTTTCTGCGCTGCCAGAATTGAAAGCTTCGAGATTCCAGCCATCAACGGCTTTATTCCATGAGCTGGGTGATCCCAATAGCTGGCAAGTATATCCTTCGATTAACGCACGTTCAAAAGCGTGTCGGCCGCCCAAATAAACGAAGTCACCACTGTTCAGACTATCTGATGTCCATGTGTCTAAGCTGCCCTGACGAATAAAGTTTGGGTAAATAGATATCGGTGGTTCCTTGGTATGACTCGTTTGATTATGAGAGCATGTCACTGAAAATACACGCGCTAAAATAATAAACAACCATTAAACGAAAGCCATACCATCAAACAACATACTTTCAATCATCCGCCCTTTTAAACAATACATCTTTACTAGTTGTACAGACGCAGCAATCAGATGAAGATTATTTCCACATACAGGACAATCAGATCTGAATGGATCGAGTTGTTGAACAGCAATTTCATTCAAAGGAAAATTGTGATTAAATGAAAGTGATCGATTACGATCAAAGAACGTTAGAGTATGCTGCACAATGTTTACTGGTTGATTTGTTTTAAATGTGCTGTTGAAAAGAAAAGTAATTCGTTCGAGACGGTTTGGATCGTACCGAGACCATTTGCTTCCAATATTCAAAAGAAATCCAAGCTCGTTCGGACGGAATAAACGTAAGAAATACACTATTTGTTTAATCTCCTGATCAGTACAATGATAATTTGTCTCACTCATATCTAAGCGAGAAAAATAAAAAAGCAAAGCTGTAATATAGATAAAAATCGCAAATAGAATAGGAAATAATTTTTCTCGAAGATATAAAGATGAAAATGACGAGAAACTACATAAAACCGCCGAACTCCTTTGGTAATGTATCCCAAAACTTGTTCATTTCTTCGTCTGTCACTTCAACCAAAAATATACCATCACATGAATCGTCGTCAACTGTTGACTGAAAATCATCGACTGCTGTATTAGACCATAAGTCCATGGATAACGAAAACTTGCCAGCCAGCTGAGCCATAGCAGGATCCGCATGGGACGAGAATTCCATATTATCAACTTTAGACGCCTCCGCATCCCGTTCTGAATTAATCCAAAACCGGCGTCGTTTTGCATCAGGCACCATTTCTTCAAAAATACATGCCGGCGAAATTCGTTTCTGTTACCGAAAAATTCTCAATTTTCCCGTAACGATCAGAGAATCGTACCTGGATTATTTTATTTGAACAGCTAGCAACTACCAATTTATTTCCATCAAAAGCGGGCAAATNATATTATCAACTTTAGACGCCTCCGCATCCCGTTCTGAATTAATCCAAAACCGGCGTCGTTTTGCATCAGGCACCATTTCTTCAAAAATACATGCCGGCGAAATTCGTTTCTGTTACCGAAAAATTCTCAATTTTCCCGTAACGATCAGAGAATCGTACCTGGATTATTTTATTTGAACAGCTAGCAACTACCAATTTATTTCCATCAAAAGCGGGCAAATTATTGTTATGATTCGTCAACATATGGTTATAAGTTGATACATCAGTGCAATCATCTGAAAAAAAAATTATAATAAACACGTCTTTTCGAAAAATGACACAAATACCTCGCTTAGCAATCATCAACGAATACTTCGTTGGACTTCCGTTCACCGTACTCACATGCTGTGTTAATCGATTCAGATAAGTATTTAATAGTTCCCTTCTTTCAGCAGGCACTTCTTCATCAATTAATGTAAAACTCTGGCAAACTCTCTCGCCGACCGCATGAATATCCATCAGATAAGATTACGATCGATGGTTCTCTGAAATAAAAAAATAAACATCAACAATCTAAACACATTTCTAGACTAAAGAACACAGTAACAGCTTTTCAAGACAACGTTTGTTAGCCATACGCATTTGTTACAGTCCACAACACAGCAAAAAACATTGTTATCAAACTACAAGTATCCATGTCATATCACCAACAAAAAATAACAAAAATAATAGAGACAGTCAATGTCCAATTTTCAAAAAAGATAACACAAAAGAAAATCGCTGATAAAGATAAAACTGGAACAAATAATGAAGAGCAATAATGTCACAAGAATTACTTAACGATAATTTATGTTAGCTCTTCTGGGACGTAGTTGAGCACCAATCATATCGTGATATATCACTTGATTTTCCTCCATACTGGAAAAGCTATCTAAAAAAACGATTAAGAACTCATCAAATGTTTCAAAAAAGAAATTATTGAAATTTTTCGATCAGTATGCTGCTCATGATATTGTTCATGTCACTCCTACTGGAATTGCGTGCTCAACTTTTACATTCTTCTTTCCTGAATCTCTTCTTTGAACAAGTACCTGTAGACCCATCAGAACTTTTCGACTTCTTTCTACATGATCGACGATCCTCGCTTTTACGCTTTTGTTTCGTTGTTTTCACTTGAATCGCATCTGCAAACAAATGGTATCAATATTAATGCAAGGTCTAAACATTTTCTTACCACCGACAAAATCTATTGTTGTTCTCGGCTGGACAATGAATGACTCCGGTAGAGAATCATCGTGGCCAATATCTAGAATAAAACTCTGACACTTAATCAATTGGTTTCATACAAGGACCAAACAAGATACCATCACTAGTATTCCTAGTCATAACAGGATCGACACTCATTTCGGCCGAAGCAGCAGCAGCATTATGATTTAAAATCAGAGTATCTTCTTCATTCACATCACTTCCAGCACGACTCGCCCTTTCATTCACCAATGGTATCGACTCTATTTGACTATTTGTCTTCTCGTGGCTTTGTTTCTCATTAGCAGCTTCTTCAATAATAACCAAATCACTTCCTATTCAGAAAAGAGCAAACAAGAGTCACTCATTTCTCACGACGAACCAAATATACCTGTCGATGATTTCATTTGAACTTTATTGTCTACAAAGAATATTCTCCTGCAATACAATAGATATAAAAAGATACTCACGAGGTTTCAAATTGATCAAAGAAGACAAATCCAGTCCTATCGATTTATATTCGGGACGATTCAAAACATCGAACACTTCATTTGAAACTTGTCCACACCCTGCGATTTTCACGTTCTTACATTTATCAAGATAATTACTGACGGTCAGTCGTTCATCGTCGTATAACGAAAGCATTCGTTCTAGATCTTCTGCACAGATATTTCCACCCGGAACCGTCTTGATATAAACAGTTGGTTTGTTAAATTTCCCGATGATTCCATTATTTATCGATATAAGTAGTCCTTCATAAACCAACTCAGGTAAAAGAGTTTTATCAACGATCGATGATGCACACTTCAATTTCCAGTCGATGTAAAGTTCCGATTTGACAAAGATTATCGAATCATGCAGCAAGATATTGACTTTTAAGGGATTACTCTTCTGTAGAAGATTGACAGTACGTCGATTTGGTTTCTCCCCATTAGAAAAGATGCCATCTCGTCGAGAACTAGAAGTTCGTTCAGAATTCAAAGAAACTGGTGAGAAGAATCTAGATTGACCACCCGGCAAAACATTCCAATGGCGCCCATCATCTTTATCGACGTGAAGTAATAATTTATATTGTTCCAGGTTAGCTAAAACAATATCCCTTGCACGATTTGCGATGCTTTCGTTAACTACGAGATGCTGAACAGTTTCTTTTACAAAGACATAACCATACATTTCCTCGACGATTGATTGAATACGATCAAACATGTGAGATTCGCAGCGCCCATTCTCGAATGATCCAAATTCAACTACATATTTCTCTGCAATTTCCATTGCACTTTCGAGTAAACAAAAGAAACCAGCAAACCGATAAATGACTTGAGATGTTTTCGCCAAACGTGAGGCTAGATGATCATTGGTCGATTCCGAATTAGCTACAATTAAACAGAGAATGCAAATGCTACCGATAGAAAAAATCAAATGAGTCAGGTCTTTCACTCACATGCCTTCTTCATATCAAATGTCAAACGTGCTAATTCAACATCAGCATTATCATTGAGTCTCAATTTAACGTCACTGAGAAATCCACAGATCATACCAAATTGTTCCAAAGACGGATAACGGCTTGAATCAATCTCTGGAAGGCAGTTTTCATTTGCAATTGGATCACCTTCCAAGGGAAATAAAATAATCCGTTCGAACAGGGCATCAGCCATTTGATGACTCGCAATTCGACCAAGTTGAGAAATAATCAATTCGCCAGTTGAAGCGCCCTCAAAACATAATCGGAAAGAGTATTCTACTCTGTCTTGTTAGGACCAATAGTCTTTATACTCACAAGCAAGATCAATTTTGAACCTTCAGTATTAATCAATTCGTTCTTCAATAAACGTGTAAAGCTACCTGGATCTTCATACAACGTCATCAGCGTTGATCGAAAAGCATCAATTCTAGTCGTTACGCGATCAAGAGGACCACTTTGCATCACGTTCCAACTATTCATCGTCGTATCAGCTTCATGTAAACATAACGCTCGAGTACAGGAGTCGAGCTGACTGAGTATTCCGGCTCCGGTTCCATCATTAAAAATCACTCGTGGCACTGAAAAAACATCGTCCTTGACTTTATTGTTCTCTTACTAAATCTTTGTCATTCTCTTTACCTTTCTTGGACGTATCTTCATGTTCATTGGATAGTGAGTTCGTGTGCCGAGAAGAAGCGGTCATAAACTTAACAGTATGAAAATTAACACATTGCTTGACTGCCCGTTCTACTCGTGAAAGAATGTCCGACTTCCCATAACCTAATAAACGCTAAAAAATATTGAATCAGAAATGGCACCGTTTACCTGATTTACCGATGATAAAATTGTACAAGTTCAACGGTACATAAGAGTTACCTCTCCGATGAATAAAAGAATTGCCACAACAAATAGACACTATATTAAGGAGAGAAATACACATGGCGTCAGGATGCAATTGCTCATAAGACGCTATGTGGCGAACAAATGTTGCAAAGCCAGGAGAAAACCAAACCTCTGGTTGAAGTTTAATTTGAGTCGACGACCGTAGATTTTCCCGAAATCGATCAGTAGGTGACAACATCTGGAATTGTAAATACGTGAAGAACCAAAAATAATGCAGTCGTAGTAGAAAATCAGTCATTGTTTTCGACTGTCTATTTAAATGTATCATTCCTTTATATTACAAACAATAGCCTAAAATACCCAATCCATATTTAACCAGCCAAAATTGGACAGAACGATTAATGTCTGGCGAATTCGTATTGTTTTTGCGATTTCTGACAGAAATCGCTTCAAAATTGTGGGGGGTCGCGATTTCTGATAGAAATTGAACGATATCCGACTTTTTCAAGAATTCGTTAACTGCTGCTCATCCATAGAAATATTCGAACAATTCAGATCTTTTTCAATGTAAATCAATGTACCATCTGTCATTCCATTCTCTATTAACTCTTTGGAGATCTGCGTAGGAAATATAACACTTCGAGTATTGTTCAGAAGTTGATGATATCATAAGCATTAAGCTCTGGTTATATATGAGTCGAAACAACTTAAAATAAATTCTTTTAGTGAATCATCAAGTGACTCACTATTTGTGCCGAATAGATTGGTAGTGACTTCTAATTGAACTAGAATTCTGTTGTTACTGTAATAAGAAATTAAATTGTCTTTATGGAAAAACCCGTTTCCAAAGGGTTAAAGAGCGTGTTTTGTGACTTTTTTCTTTTAATTTACTGATCAATGTTCACATTACATGATTGTCATTTAGTTGTTCTTTCTTACTCATCATAACGTTGACGACACCTTTTAAAAGAGCAATCGAACTTACGAAGAACGTCATGATGGGTGATAAAACTCAATTATACATTGTCTGAATGTTTCTTTCTAAATAAAAATCAAAAGAATTAAACTGCACTGTATCATCGATTGATCAATGGTATTTTTCTAATTTCGTATTCTATTATCTAATGATAACCAATGTATTATTAATGTTACTAACAAACATTTTCGCGATTCCGATTTTATTTCAATCAAGGGAATAATTCTATGAAGCTTTCACAGAATCAATTTGTGAAACAATAACGTTGAATCTTTTCAAAATCGATGAAATCCAATCCGTCAGAAAACGAACAGATAGATGTGATTGTTATTGCTTTGTAGGATTTGAAAGGGGAAAGGTACATTCAGTAAGTTCTTCTTTGAATAAACTTACAAGTATACTCTTTTCAATTTTAACAATCATTGTGGAAGATTTAACTAACTGAGAGGAAAAGCATTAAATCAGAAAATGTTCAACGAATGTCAGACGTAGGTCAATATGAATCGAACAGTATCAATCACACCTAACAGCCATATCATTCATGGTTAAACAAAATGCATGTCGAACTGATTTTTCTTTTTGAGAAACAAATAATTTCATTTGAACAGCTATTGAAAATCGATTTCAGTTGTTCACATCGATTTTTGAAAATATTTCCAAAGAATAATGTTGAAACTCCTTTACAAGAAATTTCTTTCTAATCATCGTGTTTTTGAAGGAAAGAAAAGAAAATCTCCATTTCGATATGCCCAAGTCACAATCGAACGAGGGACATGTGCCAGAGATCAGAAAGAAAGGAATTTTCTCGTTGATATTCAGCTTATCTTTCGATATATACCATCTTCATTTTTGCTTTCGTTTATTTTCGACGCACACTTTTCGCATCCGATTACCTCGGTAAATTTATCCAGTTTTTCGTTTACGCGAAACTAACTGCGTGTGTTTAGTTAAGCATCATGTCATCAAATTATGAACACGTTCCAATTAGTGAATGTTTTGATACACTAATTAGTAAATACATCTGTACAGGAAGTGGTGTTTCGAAGAAGAAAATCAAATTAATTGAAATTTTTTTCAAAATATTTGAAATCGTAAGGCGAAAAAAACAAGCATTTTTCGAATATTTTGCTGATTTCTATTCATTTTACATAGCTATTCATTGTTGGCTTCTTCATATGTTACTTGTTGATCTATTTTCAACAAATAATCGGTTCTCTCGACTCATGTGTTGACAAATCTTTGTTATATGGATATATATATCATCATAGCTCATCCTTCACAGTAATGATCATGTATGGCGTCCGCGTAATTTTACGGTTGATGACAATTACTTGCGATGGTTTTAATAATGATCTAAAAAATACATTGAAGAAGGTACAGAGAAAGAATTTGTGTTCACATTTCAATGAGGTTTTTTTTAAGGAACAGTCACGCCGTATGCTCTTCAGTGTCATTGTTCTTATTCAATCTGTTTGGGGATTATTGATCGATAAGAAAAGACTCTGGTATTTTACAGTTTTGCAGGTAAGTATTTACCTGATTATTTTTTTCGCCATTAAAACAAATTATCATCGGTATGGATATTTTTCAGGTAACTAGTGGGGTATTGGCGCTGTTTTTGTTCCTGTCCGCAACGTATTTGACACAGGTGAATGTCATTGATCCAATACCAATCGAGAATGAACAAGAACTTGAAGAAGCCAATTGGGAACACTCACCTTCAATCGAATCATAAAAAACAAATGTATCTGGTTTTGTTCTTTTTTGTCATGTGATGATATGCTTTTGTTGTTTTTTTCATATGCCATGATTTGTTGTTTTTGTTCAACCACGTGTATAGACATTTTTTTGAAAAAATCGTTTTGTTAGTTCGATTGGCCGAATAAATCAATCGACTTTTCCTTTTGAAAAACGAAACGTTTCATCTACTTGACTATGAGTCAACGTGGATTTTATGGAACGTCTACACATCCGCGTTACGTGAGAATATCTTGTGCGAATCATCATCCCCTTAATTATATGAGGATTAAATTCCGATAAAAACAAAAGTGATACAAGTCAATCTGTTGTTCTCATCTCTCAATAGAATTTATTAATAAGTCTTCATATATAATAAATGTGTCCATGAAATGCACTTGCAAAACAATCATTTCTTCGGCATGAATATGACTATTATGCATTGTATTGGAAACGATTGATAAGTCGTTATCGAAGTTATGAACAATCCTTTGTATCGAAGGATTATGGTTCTTTAAATATCATTCTCATGTGGTCACTGCATGAAATAAATAAATTGTTGTTAATCAATTAAAAGTATTCGTCTTTAAAATTATCGTTGTTATACCAAAAACAAAGAAAAAGACTTTAAAACTTAAACGAAACAACATGAAAACGAGAGTGATAGCCATTATCATAGATAATAAGGTCTATCTAATGTACTTGGGGAATTGGAATACAATAAAGTATCAAACATTAATAGAGAATACAATGCATTTTAATGAACAAAATCACATAGTCAAGGTTTGACACATGTCAGAGATGGTTTTGCTCTTTAACAATTTGATGAATTCAACTTGAAATAGAAGACCGATCTATTCAATGTTTTCAGGTCAGAGATCAACAACGTCGGGTTATGCTACTCTAATCCCGCTCGTTTTTTCTTCGAAAGCATCGTAAAAATAAAAAGCATTTACATTGAATAAGGATATTCGACAAAATATGTACAAAAATCGATGACTAACATTAGATCTTTTCATTAGTGAATGAAGATAAGATCTCCTTTAAACAATTATTTCTTCCTTTTCATTTCGAGGATCAATTGAAGATGCAAATTTCTTATAAAGATGACTTAATTTCACATTCCATTTAACCACTGAATTGTTCATCTAAAGAATAAACGATCCTATTGATTATCTAAATCATATTTGATTGCATCGAAAGTTTACTTGACTTTTATTGTTGGAAAACCATCTCTTTTGAAAATATTTATATAAAAAATAAATTTGTGCAAATAACAGAACTAAAGCCATTAATAGAAATAGAATACTGATACAAATCAAACATATTCCAAATAAACGACTCCAGAATTGATTGGGATGGGAAAGATCCTAGAGAAAAAGACAAATAGATTATTTTTCCATATTTGAAAATGTTTTTCTTCCTTTTCTACTTCGTTCAACACTTCCATTTCAGATTTTCTCCATTTGTTCATTCAACTTCAGACCGGTTACGTACTATTTCATTCATTTTACAGAAATTTTCATACGTACTCTTAGATCGATACCAACTTTGCACAGCATAGCGAAGCTACAAAAAAATGCTACGGCAGCCATCACATCCGTTGGAAAGCGATCATCGGATCGAGTTTTGGTTTCTTTGTGATTGATCTTCGAACAACAAGAAAAATAAACGCAACTTTATCATAAATTCACGAAGAAATATTATCGGACGATCTTTGTTAAAAATTTTCATTAAAACGAAAAAAAATAGTAGAATTTTCAGAATACGATTGTCCTTTGCTCATAGAATTCTTCGAGACGTTGAAAGAAAACACTGCTCTTCATGTAAACTTACAATTGTGTTTTGGTCGGCTTTAACAGCCATTGTTGAGCAATGCAGGAGAATATCTGAAAGAAAAAGCATATCATCATACATTTCAAAAATAAAAGGAAGCATTTCCGATGAGTTTCGAGAATGAGAAGAAGAAAAAGGAAATACTGTGCAACTCATGTTCAAGAAAGGAACAAAAATATACAATCCATCGAATGAATAAATGTTAGATAGAGGGCGTTGTTCATTGTGAACAAAAGATGAAACGTTCTACAACGATCATCTAAAACAGAGAGACTCTTCTCTTCTCTTCTCTTCACGTCTTTCGTTTGAACCAGAGTTGGAACTGAACGAGTTTTTTCACCTGGTCGCGGCCGGTTCCTTTGTGACGCCAAACTGGGAAACACTCTGACCAAGTCACATATGTGAATAAAAACAGTTCAATTGTCGAGAGGTGTGTGCAATATAAGAAAAAACCTTCATTTCTTGCAAAAAATCGATTTGAAGTCTTGACTTTGTAGGAAGCCTGACAAACTTGAGCTGAAAAAACGGTAAATACCAGCATAGATTTCAATATAATGAGCCTCTAAAGATTTGGTTTCACCCAGCCCTGTTTACATTTTCTGACCTACACGGTCAAGGCACAGATCGCAAATTTCACTCGACAGAAATCGAGAAAATCATTTGATAATTATTTTATGTGAACAAATGTCGATTCCTAACATCTATACATAATACATACGGAGTCGATTAAAATTGCATCCTGTTATTTTCTTTACAACGATGATTTTATTAAAAATAATATTTTACCAACTTCTTTTCATTGGCTCATGTCCACTTAATCATTTAATCCACTTATCTGTTTATTCTGTCAAAATTCATCTACTATATGAATTGGAATTATTTGAAAATTGACATATGGCATCCATTCAGTTATAAATATAGACCTTTCCCAACACGTTCGTAGAGTCAGCTGTAGTAATTCGAATCAAAGCTGTAAAGATTGAAAATGTTTTTGATTCGTTCTTCATTGCTGATTCTGATAGAAAGTTGTTCTTTACCATAGCTACAACAAAATATGCTCTCTCCTCTGACGATAAGAATACCGATATACTTCGGAACAAGCTAAATATTTACTTTTGATTGCTTTTCAAAGTAGTATCAATCCATACGTAAGTAGAATAGCTGAAGCTTGAAACAGTGCGCGAACAGCCAATCAGTTAGTTGTAGAGAAACCACACATAATAAAACGAACGACTCGGAAGAAAGTTGTCTGAGTATTTAATTTATACACCAAGCATCATTTATTTCGTCACTGCAATTTTCTTCATATCTATACAATGAATGATCATCTTGCTTTAACAGAAGATGTTAAACTTATTTGTTTGCGATCTGCTCATCAAGATAACACTTCTATAGATCAACTACAGCCTATTGGAATTGACACATATGAGTTTGATGATGTTGACGAATGTGTTCAATATATTGTGTCACTCGATCCAGAAGATACATTCGTTTTCATATGGCTTGGTTTCGGATGGAATCATCTCATTCCCATCTTACACCAGTTCGAACAGATTCATTGCATCTATCTTCATGAACCAACTCATCATAGGTTCATATCAAAAGTCCACGGAGTATTCACTCATCCTGATGAACTACTTCAGCAACTCGTTCGAGACATTCGTGTGAGTCAAGAGAGACAGTCTAACACATCTCAATGTGTTCTACAATCAAGAAACAACAACCATTCACAATCCACAAGGAAATTCTATTCAAGCGATATGGTCTGAGGTACTTTTACAAGGTCTCATGCGCATGCCAACACCCTCTACAAACGTCTATGGAGAAATGATCAAAGAAGCGCGCTACTTTTATCGCAACAATTCAGTTCAACTTGCCCAAATCGATGATTTTGAAAAGAACTATCGTCGTGAAGATGCCATTCGATGGTATTCGCGTGATTCATTTGTGTATCGATTAGTGAACAAAGCTCTTCGAACTCAAAACTTGGTGATTCTGTTTAAATTTCGATTTATCATTCGAGATATCTATGAACACTTGAAGAAACTCTACCATAAGCAATACTTGGCTGGAAATTACAAAAATGGTAAGTGTAGCTTTTTATCATATAACAAATTCTGTCTATATATGAGAAACTCTATTTGTCGTGAGTAATATGTGGAATAGTTTTTATTCTCATGATGATACGTAGAATTTGATTTTGCTATTTGACAAAGCACGTTATACTCTTTAGAAGAACCTTCAACAATCACATTATATCGTGCAATGAAAGTATCATCAGCTGAAAGCAATCAACTACGGTCCTTCAAGACAGGTGGAATACTTTCGATCAATTCATTCGTATCTGCATCATCCGATGAAATGGTTGCAATTTTTTATTTGGGAAAAGATATAGAAAGAGATATTATGTTGGAAATTGAGGTCGATAAAAAATTATTGAGCTCGGATAGTTTGCCTTTTGCTGATATTCATACACTTAGTTCAATGTCCGATGATATGGAAGTGTTGCTGTCGATGGGAACTACTCTTCAAATCCAATCAGTTACAGCCAATATCCGCTATGAGAATATTTGTATTAAAACTCGATTATGTTATGAAGCCAGCAGTGAGCTGAAACAGTTGAAAAGATATTTAATAGATAAGTGTCTTCTGTACGGACAAAGTGAATCGTACTATATAGATTCACTTTTAAGTCTTCTGTGCGGAATATGGGATCAAGAAAAACTAGATCAGCTAATCAAACTGTGCAAACGGGAGGATAAAAATGTAGATTGTAATGTCATTCATTTAATGCGTAGACTTTCCAATGTGGGCAATATGATTAATGAGCTGTCTATAGCTGAAGTATTTCCAGTGGCTTCAGAAGTATTTTCAAAAGTTTGTGAACTGCTTAAAAATCTTCAACGCACACCAAACATATCAAGCGACGTTCGAAAAATATTGACAGAATTTGACGAATCTGTGGCACGTATGCACAGTACTGCTGTATATACGAATAATATGGGCGCAATCATCGAACAGTTCTTGTCAGAATTAACTTCATGGGAACAGATACCCGCTGCATTATCGCTTCCTTCGTTGCATCCGATACATTCAGAATTACAGTTCATAAAAGGTTCATTAAACTGTCTACAAGGTAATCATACACAGGCAGTGAAATGCTTCGAGCGTAGTCAAGCATCACCTGCTGTCCCTTTATTCGATAAGAACGGTTTCATGCAGCAAGCAGGTATGTCCAATATAGTTGAAAGTGCTGATATGCTTGGTATCGATTCTCTCTCATCGCAAATTTTCGAAGATCTTTATAAATCAGTAGAAACTCACCCACAAGCACTCTTTCAATTAGGTAGACATCTTGAGCGTCAAAACGACTGGTCTATGGCAATTCTATGTTACCAACGTGTAATTGAAAATCGTAACTTACCGCCTAATTCGATGTTTATCATCAAAGCATACTATTATATGGGTATGGCTTTCTCCAAGTTGAATGATTCTGAATCGGAGCTGTTCAATTATCATCGAGCATATGATCTCTTGAATCAACATTATCCATCTACTCATCCCCTCGTATCAGAAATATATCGATCTATTGTCCTGGTGGAGTTACGCATAAACGTTCAGCGCATCTATTACTTATTGGATCGTAAGCATTAGTTTCAATGTTTATGACATATATCTATTTGTTTTCGCACTACATCTTCACTGTAAAAATAGATTCGTGTTGAAAAACTAAGCTTCTCATTTTATTAAGACGAACTTTATTAGTTCACCGAAATGAGACTGAGAGTGTTGTATTCAATACTTTTGTACTTGTTTCGGTTCAACTGGAGTTCCTTGACAATCGTGCACACAAGCATTTAACTGATTATTAGTTATTAAAATAAATTAGTATGAATATATGATATGCGCATAGAATGAAAGATGCATTTCGACTTATAGTCGTGCATTAAGCAATATAACACTATCAAACGAATACAGTTCATAACATCAGTCAATATTTAAACACGTAAATTAGAAAAGCACCGGATTTTAATCAGTGATGTTTTGAATATATAGTAAAGATTATTTAAAAAAAGGATTGATGTTGATCTTCGCTTTTGCTCATGATTATCATATTTTTTCTTGATTAATATCGTTTAAAATAAATCAAATGCCTTATCATTCTATTCTCAGCTATCTCCTAGTAGCGAGACTGTTTCCATAGTCTCTGCAATCAGATGTTGAACAGCTAGATCGAACTCATTCACGGGCGAATTTGGTGAGAATTCCTAAGGGAAGTCAAAATTAGTTACAATTTTCTATCCCGTACAAATCAACGCACCTGCAGCAAATTATTGATGGTAGGCGTATATGCAGTTTGAGCCATGGATTGTAGAGAACCTGTAGTTTCACATACACTTTGCTGCAACATAATCTGCGGTGGATCGTGAAGATTGTCCGTTTGTGCAGTTGTTGATGCCATTCTCTATGAATACAATTTGTATGAGAAAGATTATGCAACTGGATAATTGGACTCAGTCTGTCGTTTTAGAGCTCAACAGTTAGGAAACATTAGTTTCTTTTTGCGGATTGATTAACTGAAAATTCTACATGATTAACGGAAATCTATTATAAATTGCATAGGAGCAGCATATGTTGTATTAAATACCATTGAGTTAGCTGATAGACTGTCGCCATGCTGTTGTATATAATTCATTGTCGTCGTCACTGATGATGCTTGCGTATTTGATGGTTTGAACTTTTTCGATTTTGAAGTATTTGTAACTGTCGCTGATAAATAACACAAAGAGTATATTTAACAATATATGAGGGGAGGAAAAGTTTTACCAGATCGCTTCGAATTCTTTTTTCGCTCTTTTTTTTCCTTGGGTATTTGTTCAATGATGTTACCATGATGGTCTTTGACGATGATGTAATCAACGTTTTTCGGGGACTCTAACGAAAAAGACAAGGCGCAAAATAATAAAACTTCGGCGAGGATATATTTACTGCAAAAGGTGAACGCCTTTGATAGGACAAGTGTATTCCATAATAAACATCCATTTTGTTCAAGTAAAACAGCCAAACGAGTAGTTTCATAGTTCGTGCCCTTGGGATACTGATTTTCTAATGAACAAAAAACGTGTTTATGTCGATCAAGATGATTTTTTGTGTGGACTCCTGTATCAGCAATCCTTTTTGCTTTCCATGCAATCCTATAAACAGAAAAAGAATCAACAACACAATAAATGAGATAACTGTGTTACTTGTATCCTTTTTCACTTTGCATTTCGTCATCGAAAGGAGTAACAACAAATCCTTGTCTTGCTTCATTTCTAGCAAAAAAACGATAGACAGGCACTGTTTAGAAAAGGTGTGGTATATACCTTTTTTTCAAAGAACCACATTTGTTACAAGTAATTGCGGAAACAGATTCGTTTTCATCGGTGAATACTTCTTGTTCTGAATGATGGTAAAATGTACGCCTTCCATCTTTGCAGACTTCCTCTACAAGAACATTGACCACGCTGCAAGTGGATTTGTTTTTCTCGGAAACTGCATCCTTCCTGATCTTTTCAATAAAAAATGTTTCAAATTCTACATTGTCAGAAACAGTATGGACTCACTTTGAACTTTGGCAAAACAGATGCATGCCGAGCTGATTCTATCAATCCAGTTTTATCACCTTGTATCATGATTGGTTTCTCACTTTCGTATGGACATCGTAAAGTACTGTTCACATCCGTTATAAATTCTATCGCTGGTTCTTTCTTATTGAGCATAACAGGAGAAGGAGCACATACAAAAGGTGAACCTGTTTGTGAAGATGCGCCTTCTTGTTCAATCTCAGGTTGAGCAGTAACTAAATCTGCTACAAAATGATAGAAATATCAAAATAATCGTATCAATGTTGCCATTGACATACGTTCAGCCAGTTGCCGAACAATATTCGAAGATTTCTTGTTTGATTTTCGTCGGGCACCTATTCGTACATAAGTGAAAATCATCAACTTTAAGAAGTAGTTTTTACTGGATATATTGACAATTTTCAGCTCAACCACCTGTACAGGGACATTGGTCGATTGTGGCCCAGCATTTCTTGTTTCGGGATTCGTGGCATATGGACGAAAACTCTTTCGATAACCCTCGTCGAAGTCGACAAAGCCATCATGTGGATCATTGATTTCGAGTTTAAATGACCTCATTCCCATTTCATCGGTTATTCGTTGATAGAACTCTTCTATAGGAGTACCCCTGTTGAACCAATCGACTTTCTTTCTGTGATTTCCAGTTTCATTTTCGTAATGTAATATAGTGGCCGGTTGCATCATTGTAAAAACATTAAGAAATCGGTTTGCCTTCCAAAAATTGTCTACCAACTATTCTTTTCAAGGGTTGGTAGTTTGGACATACAAATGAAAAAGTATGTTTCGTTCCTTGTTAGGTCCACTATATAACAAGGAGGAAAAATAGAGTTAGCAGTAGCACTCCTTGATCAACATGTTGAGAATGCCCGTCGATGTTTCGTATTCAGTCAAAAAGATTTGAATTAACTTAACTTGGTCCTTTTGTACATATAAATTCACTCAAGAATAGTTCGCAAACTACTTGTTGGATGTATAATATATCTTACGGAATCGGTACAGCTCATGAAGTACTTTCGTCATAAATTGGCGCTTGAGCTTTAACTTATTTTAGCCAACTTGAGCAATTATCTAAGTAATTGCATCTCGTTTTTTTTTTAAGTTGGAAATTTCCGAATGACGTGGTTCGCCTGTGAATCATTGTGTTGACTCTTTCCCTGCTAAAAGTCTGACTAATGATATTTGCATTAGATTTTATTTTGGTCATCACATTTCATTTTGTGGATAAGCCTCATGACCACTTCTCATGCTTTATATTCAAATGCAACTCTAGATAGTAAAGGGAGGCATCAAACTCAGAGTAGGTAGTTCGTAAGGATTTGAAGTCGACACAGTCTTACCTTTGATGGATATTTTTTTTAAAGAACAGCTTTTGTTAACCTGAAAGGTGTGTTCTTTACTTTTCTATGAAAAATAAACTCTTCTAACGTAAGTTGGAAAGTTCCAAGTTGTCTCTATTAATAATCAACAGAGCGAATGAAGAAAAGGCAGTATTATGCATATGAGAAATGAATTTTTCACGAGTTGGACACTTCTAACTAATGTTGGAAAAAAGACACATTTTTTTTAATAAACAGAACGCAACAAACATATTTATTAAGAAGAATTGCACGAGTCTTACCTATTTTCAGTAGATTTTTTTATTACTTTTCCGTTGATAAAGAATATCGTCGACCGAAAACGATAAAATTATAGACTGCAACTCTTATTACTCAAGATATATTCTTATAATATGGCGTCGTGCAGTCTGATTGTTATGTGCGGGCATCGAGTATATACACTCACCGTCTATCCGCAGACATGTTGGAATGAGATTATCGAAAATATTGCTTCTCATTTTAATTTGACTGGATATTCATTTAATCTTGAAATTTATGATGAACAAATCCGAATGTTTGTCGATTTTGACGAACAGTACGACAAAGAGCTGCGCCAGCGATTACCTAAAACACATCAACAAACACTCCAGCTTAGAGTTTCATTCTCAGAAACGAGTGACTCAGAGGAACACTCTGATCAGGAGAGTAAGTGTTAGATAAAGGAAGTTTTCATTACATAGGAATGTTTGCTTCTCTCGACAGATGATATATCGTCATCACTCAATGAATTAGAAACAAGTCTGGTCGGCAGTTCTCCGATGAATGATCAGATAATTAGCCCTGCGGATATCGATATGGACTGTTGCCTTCTTGATGATTCTTCCAAATTATCCGATGGTATTTCGCTGAATTTGCAAGATGGTTGTAGTCATATCACCTTTGTTCGCGATGTTATCCCCTACGAAAAGAATTATTATTCAACAGGCATGATTGATGACGAAGGAAAAAAAAAATTTACAAAAGGAAATTATGTTCGACGTGTCCAAGGCATCAAAAATAACTGGGATGAAAGGTATACAAGCGTTCTACCTGAGATAAAGGTAAGTTTTTCACAGCTGAAAATGATGAAATTCCCTATTAGTTTGCTGTACGACTTCGGTTATTCCACTACAGTGATTTTCAGCACGCATTGTGAATGAATGTTTATCTGTAGAAATTCTCACTGATTTGCTCTTTGTGAAATGATCAATTCCTTCGAATATTGAATTAATAAGAAGTAATAGTGAAGAAAGATCGTATGTTCTTTGTATTTTCTTTAGATTCCACTATACTTCTTACACCAAGACCGATTCCAACTCCTTATTGCTGTTGTTCTCGAAGAACTGAATGATAAACAAATCACTTGGCATTTACATAAATTAAAAGGCTTTTTACGTGATAATAGCAAAACAAATGTGACACCTCTCAATCCACTTTATCTGGATATTGAACGATCAATGTTGACGAAAGACGGCATTTTTAAGTACTTATCTTCACTATCTCCTAATATACATTAGATCTTTCTTCTTTAGATTGCCATTAAGAATGTGTGATATTCTTCTAAGTCGATTTGTCAAAAAAGACGATGCCATTTTTCATTCACTTCCTGCAGCTGCAATTCCTGATCTTCATCCTGCCGTACATACATCAGATACACCAAGACTTGCGTGTGTCATAGCAGATAGAAGCGGTGCTGTATGTTGGGACACTTTCGGATTATCAGATTTTATTCATCCAAGTAAAGATTAACAAATTATTAGTTCGAAGGACAAATCTTGTTGCATTTTTCTCTTTCTTAGTCATTCTTCACAAGAGAAAAAGTAAAATAGACAAGTCAGGTAAATACAATTTATGTGTTGAATACTTTCCCGGACAAAAAGAAGTATAGACAGGATATGTTTAAGAAAATTTCCTGGTGGATTTGAATTTTCAGCTCGTCTTATATGTAGAAACTGAAGTCCATATCAATTTTTATGCTTGGAAAATGACTTCCTGAGATTTTCATTGAATCTCTAGTGCTTTCCTTTCGCATAAAAAGTATTATCGTTTAATCACTAGTGATTTCATTGGATCCTCGTACGCATATGGATATTAGTTCAACAAATGAACCAGCATCAGATCTTCCCATAGCGCAACCTGAATGTGAAGGGAAAAGGCAACATATTATTCAAAATTTTCTCCTCGTGTGGCTAGATTGTACTATTGACGAATCAAGTAACGATTTCCTTAATTCATTCGTTCGATTACAATGTTTTGTCAATGTTCTTAACACGTTTACGGATATCGATGAATGTATAGATTTCGTTTCTGACATCACTAATGAAAAAGTATTTTTGATTACATCTGGCTCACTCGGTCGACGCGTTCTACCTCTTGTACATAATATACCACAATTGGACTCAATTTATATATTTTGTGAAAACAAATCCATTCATGAACGATGGGCAAAAGATTGGCCTAAAATAAATGGCGTTTTCAATGATATTACTCAGATTTGCGAGTCACTTGATCAAGCTGTTCGACGATGCGATCAACAGTCGATCTCGTTTAGTTTTGCTTCAACCGATGAGACGCCAAATAGAAACTTGGATGAACTTGATCAATCGTTCATGTATACGCAAATACTCAAAGAAATATTACTTACTATCGACTTTGATCAAACGCATATACACGAGTTTCTTACGTACTGTCGTCAACAATACGCCAATAATCATAGTATGTTAAAGAATATAGGCAAGTTCGAAAGAGAATATCATAGTCATTCGCCCATATGGTGGTATACTTCTTCATGTTTTTTATATTCTATGCTTAATCGTGCTCTACGTACATTAGAAATTGGTACAGTCATTAAGATGGGCTTTTTTATTCGAGATCTTCATGAACAAATCAACAACATATATATGCAACAAGTCACTGACATTTGTGCTCAGTCATTTACTGTCTATCGCGGTCAAGGATTAAGTAAAGAGGAGTTCGAGAAACTAAGGCAGAATCGAGGTGGATTAATGTCGTTCAACAGCTTCTTGTCAACAAGTCGAGACCAAAACGTTTCTCTTCATTTCCTCGACAATATTCAAACTGATCTCAATTCTGTAAAAGTTCTGTTTCAGATTACTATAGTTTCTTCACTGATATCGACTCCTTTTGCGTCTCTAGACAATAGTATCAGTTGTTATAGTTCAGAAAGGGAGGTTCTTTTCTCTATGAATACTGTTTTTCGTATTGGGAACATTGAGCAAATCACCAATACTCACCGATTATGGGCGGTAGAACTTACGTTGACTAGTGACAATGATCCATCACTTCATGCTTTAACCGGACAAATGCGGGAGGATACATCTTTAGGTCTGAAAGGATGGTATCGTTTGGGCATCTTGTTACATAAACTAGGTGAGTTCGACAAAGCTGAACAACTTTACCTATTACTTCTTGGTCAGACAGCTAACGATTTGGAAAACATACACACGTACTGTGAGCTCGGCGTGATCAAAAATGCTCAAGGCGATTATAGTCAGGCGATCTGTTTCTATAAAAAGGCGCTTGAAATGACCGAGAGGACTCTTCCTGTGACTGATCCGTGGTTCACGAATTTGTACAGCAACATTGCACAAGTATATCAGAAAATGGGCCAATATTCAAACGCACTAGATTTCTATCAAAAAATACTTCTAATTCATCAAAGATTACTCCTGTCAAATGATCCCGCATTGGCTAAATCTCATAATAACATCGGAGAGCTACATTATCAGATAGGTGAACATTCTCAAGCATTATTGCATTATGAAAAATGTCTGGAAATCCAACATGGAACTCTACCAGCAAACCATCCTGCTTTAGCTATTACATACAATAATATTGGTTCAGTTTATGCGAACATGGGAGAGTATTCTAAAGCATTTAGTTCTCACGAAAAAGCACTTCAAATTCGACAGAAAACGCTTCCTGCTAATCATCCTAACATAGCCCAGTCGTATAACAATCTTGGCTTACTATATAACAGTATGGGTGACTACCCGAAAGCAATCTCCTTTCTCGAAAAAGCCCTTCAAATTCAACAACAATCACTTCCTTCCAATCATCCTAATTTAGCTTCTTTATATAACAACATCGGTATGCTATTTTACAATATGGGCGAGTATTCAAAAGCACTGTCGTATTATGAAAAAACTTTCACAATTCAACAGCATTCTCTTGCTGATAATCATCCCGATTTAGCTTCTTCCTACAGCAATATTAGTAGTGTATATTACGCCATCGGACAGTATAACGAAGCGCTTATAAACCACAAAAGAGCTCTTGAAATACGACAAAAAACCCTTCCTGAAAATCATCCTGATTTGGCTACCTCCTATACTAGCATTGGTTTGGCGTATTCAAAGATGAATGAATATTCGCAGGCACTTGCGTATTATTACAAAGCTCTTCAAATTCGACAAAAAACGTGTCCTGCTAATCATCCTCACTTAGCTACTATTTACGATAATATCGGCTTGTTATATGCCAATATGCATCAACACTCCAAAGCTCTTTCGTATTTCCAAAAAGGTCTCCTCATCTGGCAAGAAAGTCTTCCTCCAAATCATCCCACCTTGGCTACTTCTTACAATAATATCGCAGAAATGTGTGAAAATGTGGGTGCCTACTCGAATGCACTGTTGTTTTTGGAGCTCGCTCTCAAGATTTCACGCTGCTCACTGTCTGTCGACCATCCTAACATAAAACTCTTCGAAAAAAACATTGAAAATTTGAAGAAAAAATTGTAAATAATGTCCATCTTAACCAAATAAAAAGAAAGATTGACTTTGCGGTAACAGGTGAATGTTGATGCTACTATTGCACGTTAACCTATACCTGAATACTGTAGTTTCGGACACATATACAAGAATATACAAACAAATAAAACTTCCAACTTATATAATTAGTTTGAACCGAGTGTCTTTCGTTGTTGTCGATGAGAGATATTTGCATTTTTTGTATTAGGAAAGAGCTAACCTGGAAACCAACTCGATTTTCTACAGAAATAATGCAGAAGAAGACCGGTCAATGTATCAATATCAGATCGTTTCAACGAGATATTTCCTTCAGAAACGGAAAAGAAAGATGTGCGTATATTTACTCTATGTCTATTTATGGATTGATCATAGATTGTTTTTTTTCCAACAATTTATAATTTAAGATTCAAAATTTTTGAAACAATATTGTTCAACTACAATTAACGACTTGCGAAGGATCCAATGTGGAAGACTTAACTCACACTCATATAGTTAACCACTAAGAACAAGAGTGTAATTTTCTTGTGTTTATTTTCTGTTCGATCATGTTTATGTGATGTACGTGGTATGGAATATTCCATGTGAGAGCGATAAAAATTTGCATATACATAATGTATTTGAATATTGCCATTTTTCGTTCTTAGTCTTTTCCTAAACTCGCATGTATATATGCATAGATTTTCCTTGTACGTGTGTAAATATGTGGAACGCATCCTTCTTCTCTCTTTATCTTTATTCGAGTATGGCCCAAATAGAATGAATATAACGATAAGAACGATATCTATTAGAAGCAATTTTTTTATATTTTATTTTATTACGAATAGATTTAGTTTTGAGAAAAGAAAGACTGGTAAAGATCGAATACAAGTATTGATTCATGATTACAGAAAACATGATGTAAAAAGTACACCGTACATATATGGTTTTGTCTTTCACCGAGAGAAACAAGAATAAATCAGATTTTATATGTCTATAAAACAAGACAAGTAAGTAATACTTCATAAAAACGTTAGCTTCGCTGACGATATATCCGGTTCAATTGTGATCGAATCCATGTACTCATGACATATGGTTAAAACCAAGTGGATAGTAAACGGTTTTTTCCTGATGACATCATGTGACGTTGTTTTTTTTTCGAATATCTCAACGAATGATATCGACGATAACAGTGTTTTCATTTCTGTTCGTGAATGTGTTTTTTCCCTTCTCTATCGTATTAAAAGGATTTCATTCGATAGTTAACAGCTCACATTCACCTAACTTTGAAGATGGCAATACGAATTATAATTGAAGATGAAGAACAACGTTTGCAGAAAGAAAATATGCACCAACTCCGAGAATTGCACTTGTTAAAACTTAGTGAAGAAGAAGAAAATATTGCTCGAGAAGAACTTCGAAAGTACGATGACGAACAACGCGAACTAGAGCGACTTGATGAAGGTGATAGTCACAGTTCCAAAGTGGAAATCAATAATCTGAAGAAACAAATCGAACAAGTTGAAACGGAGCGCGACAAATTAGGAAAACAGCTTGAGATTGGTCGTCTTCAACATGAAGAGCAACAAGCTGAATTAGAACAAATTGTCAGGGACCTTGAGGAACGTACACGATCGATCGAACAATTTCAAAAAGAAGCTCAACATCTCCGACAAGAGAAACATGATTTAACTGTCAGACAAGATCAGTTGGAAACTTTGCTTCGCGAACAAGAACAATTACACGAACATGAAGATATGGAATTCAAAATTTTTGAACAACGTATAGAAAAGTTGAACAGAGAAAAACAAATCTTAGAATCCCGACAAGCTGAGTTAATTAAAACGCTAAATGAATCGCGACAAGAAGAAAACGAACTTCAACAACGAATGGAAGACCTCGATAAACAATTGATCCAACTGAAAAATCAAGAAAAACGATTAAATGAAGAACGTGAAGAGTCAGAAAGAATCGTCGAAAATCTCGCTCAGCAGTTACAAACAGCTCAAGAAGAAATGGCCAAATGTACACAAGAAATAATCAAACAAAATGATCTGATGGATAAAATAACGACTGAACAAAGACAAGTTCAAGTTCAAATAGAACATTTACAACAATCGATTGAATCCATAAAACAAATGATCGAACAGGTTTGTCTTACACGTGGAATCTTTTGTATTCAAGTAGAAATTTTGTTTAGAATAACGCTCGACAACGTGAAATGAACGCCTATATCAAACAGAAGAATACTGAAAAACGAGTAGCTGAAGAAGAGAAGGCAGCTGCAGATGAAGAAATGAGAAGATCTCAAGAAAATCTTGAACAATTAAATAAAGAATTGAAGACATTGCAAGAACAATTGGCCAAGTCAATTCAAGAGATGAACCAATTGGAAGAACAATGTCGACAAGCAGCGAATGAACTCCGAGATGCGAAGTATGTTGAACGAAAAGATCATGACGAAAAACTTACTGAATTGTTTTAGTGAAGCAGTTCAACGCGCTAAGGGCGAAATCGAACGGTTACGTAACGAACTACAAGAGTTGACAAAGCAATTGAACGAGAAAAATTCTCAGTTAAAACAGGCTAAAGAAGAAGAAGAACGATTAAAAGCGGCACTGGATGAGAGACAAAAGGAATTAGAAGTGATCGATGAAAATGTAAGGGAACTTGAAGCAGATCTTGTCCAAGCCAAAGCTCAATTGGACGCTGCTATTCAATTACTCAATGAAATGACCGCGATTCTTCGTCATGAGGAGCAATTAGAATTGGAATGTCAAGAGGCAGTCGAGCAACAAACACAAGTTGTTGATGAAGCCACCAATCAAGCGAATGAAGCTGACTTGGAAAAGGCAAGAGCCAATGAAGCGAAAAATGAAGCTATGCGCGAGCAGCTAGAAGCAGAAAACGTTGTCGATGATCTCAATAGTAAAACCCAAGAAGCAGAAGAAGCATATTCGCAGGCTGAAAAGATGGCTGCAGATGTGTGGCGGCTTCCGATCATCGGCATGATTCTAGGTATTGGTATATCGTTTTCTGTAGCTACTGCCCAAGCAAAGCTTTCCGACTTACAAAATGAGTTGGACCACGCAAAGTCGATACTTCACAGAGCCAATAGAAGACGTGATAAAGCTCTCGAATCGTACCGAGTAGCAAAAGAAAAGAAGTGTAAGGCACGTCAAAATCTTGCCGATCAGAAACGATCGTTAAAACGAATGACAGGAGCATGGAACGATCAAATTGAAAAGAAAAACAAAGCAGAGCAAAACGTTGATCGACAGACAAAAAACGTCGAAAATGTCACTGCTCACCACAACGAAGTAATTTGTGAATTAGCGAATGCAAAACAACAACAAATAAGCAAAATGAACGAAATATATGAAGCTCAAGCACAGCTGCACAAACAAACAGGTCATGTTGCCATGTTACGCACTGAAGCCGATACTATGGAGCACAGAAGAAGTCAAATTCAAAAAACATTCGCCGACGCAGAGAAAACGTTGGCAACCGCTGAAGAAAGAGCCAGGAGAACTGAATCGCATTCAAACAGATTAAATGAACAACTCGATGCCAAAAAGCTCGAAGTAAAACGTACCAACGATTTAATTGCGCGAAAACAAGACGAAATTCGGAGAAAGCAGGCGGAACATGTCATTAGTGAAGAAAAAGCTTGGAAAGCGGAAAATAAACTTTCTCTGATTCAACAAGATTTGAACATGGCCGAGAAGAATGTCAAAGATTTAGAAAAAGAAATTCAACGACAAAATGGAAGACTAACAGATGAAAATGAAAAACAACGAAATTTACAACGGGAAGAACAAAATATCAAAACGAAATTTAACAACGCAGAAAAAGAGAAAAGTCGTTTGGAAAAACAAATAGATCAATTGAAAATTCAGTTGAACAATCAAAATGAATTGATGATGCAAAAACGACACGAAGCATTCAGAAAAACAGCCGAATTGGAAATCATCAAAGATCAGAGGAGTGATTTAGAAGACAAACGCAATCGATTCGCGGCCCAAAGTGAAAAAATTCAAGCGAATATTGTTGAAAATGCCAAAGTATTAGAAGAAAACCAAAGAAGTGCAGCGATTATGAAATCGAATCTTGAAAATCAAGAAAAAGCCAAACAGGTAACGACGAACAAAGCAAAAAGTTCATCTCATAGCTTTCTTTTCTTTATTAACAGATGGCCGAACATAGAGCTAAACAAACGAAAGGACAATTTGAAGACACTCGTAGTCAGATCAAACAATTGTCCGATAATATTGCTAAGAAAGAGAAAGATTTCACCAAACTCAATGATATCCATCGACAAATGAGTATTGAAATTGAACAACGAAAGACGAAACAAGAAACTTTAAAACGACAAACTCAAGATCTTCATGACCAATGGACAGCGAAAGAAATCTTCGCAGCAACTCTTACTAACGAAGTTAATGATTTACAAAAAGAAATCACAAACAAAAAACTACAGCGACGAGAAGAACACGAACAAAAGAGACAACGAGACGAACATCGACAAACACAATCTTATTATAAGAGGAACTACAACAAAAACTAATTTCTTTTTTTTTGTTTTATCATATATCAAGTTTTTCCGGTGTGTTTTTTTCTTTCAGATAACACACAAAACAATGTCCAGATAATCAATCAACGGATTAAATAATCAAAATTTAACGAAAAAAACTCTCTCTCTTTGCACTTCGTAATACTATAAGACAAAAAATATGATCAAAATGGTTAATTCATCGAGCTGTTGAGCATTAACCATGAACTTCGCGAACTGATTCTTCGCGTACACTAATGAACATGATGACTTTAAATATAAAACTTGAATGACCAATAGTCATTCTACGAAATGGTCAATATGATATGACAAGTGGAGGAAATCAAATTAGTGAATCATTGAAAGTAGATTATCAAGAGAATTGGATCTATCGGTAACTATGAAAATAAGATTCAAGAGCAATGAATGGTTCAATGGGTTGTCGACATCATAGAATAAATAGAAAAAAACATCAAGATGTGGAACTTTCGATAGCAAACACTAGAAAATAGAAGGCAAGAGAAACATTCATTGGCTCATTTGATTTTGATCAAATTGATGTAGTTCCTTTTAAAGGAGAAACAATGTTCAAACCTGACGATTCACGTGGTACTTGATGATCGTTTATTGAAGCTTCAAATACAATACGGGCGCAACAATAAAGGTCGAAGTGGCTCATATACTAATGTCATTCTCCCTAGTGATTACAAAATCGGTAGCAAACGGTTAAAGGAATTATTTCACAAAAGTCTTAACGAACGAAAGACCATTCAAGTTATTAAAAAACCATAAACAGTGTTTTTTGTCATTTATTTTGATTTCATCATAACATGATTTTGTTTATTCTAGATAAATTTTCTTCAATGGCGACAAATCTTCAATCAGTATTTGATTATTTAACCGAAAAAGGTTCTTTGGAAATAATAAATCGCGATCGTCTCGTCGAAATCTGTTCGGCATACAATCAACTGAAGGCTGACCACACTTTTGCAAATGACGATGATCTCGTTCAGATGTTAATCAAGGAATTTTCCATCGTTAACGATACAGAAAACTTCGATCGTTTAAAACAATGCGTAACAAATGTAAGTGTCGATCTGGCATATCAAATTGTTCAGAAAGAATATACACTTAAACTTATAACACAAAAACGATTGAAAGTAAGAAATGCAAAATCATCATCCAATGTTCATGTGGAAACAAACCCAACAACACAAACGAATGTCGAGATTATGAAGCAAATTATTTGTCAAATTCTAATCAAACAAAATCATACCGAAGTTATCAGTTTGATCGAAAATTTCTTTTTGTGTCAGTTGAGCAAACTTACACAAGGTTACAAGTAAGTACATTCAGAATAGTTAACACGTATCGCTCTTGCATTCGATGAATAGAAGACGAACTACAAGTCCATTATCAGCCGACAAACTTTACAATGGGCTTGTCTGTCCTGGTACAATACTATACGAATTTATTCGATTTCAGTTATCTAGTCGAGGTGGTGTTATTGATGTTGGACGCACTTTGACAAGATTCCCGCTTGTTGAACCATTACTATTGGTAGATCAGTTCGATACGTGGAATTTTGATTATTTACGTGGTTTGTTTGAATTGAATTTGTTACCTCCAAGCGGACCATTCCCGAAAGCATGGCAAATTGATGACAATACTCAGTTTTTTTACCTTTTGGAGCTGCCTCATGGAAATAATGGTACAAACTGTCAACGAGCAAGAAATAACGATCGACCAAGTACAGTTTCCTTGCAAAGATTCGTTGAAGATGTATGCGACAAGGAAAACAATGGAATGGGGAAGAAATGGCTCAACGCGTTAACTCAAGATGATATATTCACTTATGATCATCTCGTCAATCTGAAATTTGATGAATGGAACCAATTGAAGACATTATCTATGAATGGACGAAAGATTCTCAAATCATACGTTGATCGGGAGAAGCAAATGGCCAATGATATGAAAAACCAGACGAAGCCTGATGAGACCAATTCAAATCAACGTAAATCACGTTATATTGATGAATAATCAATCTCTTCTGATCATTCTTTTCTTTTCATATTCAGAATCTGAATCAGAATTATATGCGAAAATCCATCAAGTTCAATTATATTTTCATTATACATTAGCTGACAAATTTCATGTTGCTCAGATTCCAAGACCAGCGAAATTGAATGCTGACTGTGTTCATTTGTCGTTTGAAGAAATGCGCAGAGACGGCTTTGAAGATGACGGTCTTTTCGATCAAATGAAAATGTTCTTTTTGCCACTAACAATGGTCGAAAACGATTTGGCTATTGATGAAACTCACCTACGTTCATTGAACAGAGGACGTGAAACACAAAGAAACAATTTACAAGAAAGAAGAGAACAGCTGATCGGCAAACTGGCTGAAAAAGAGAGTCGATATTATGATCACGATGATTCACTGAATAAACTACGAAAAGAGACAAACGACAAGCAATCAGTGTCAGATGATGTTGCACAACGAGACTATGAAAGTTTTTCAATATCAGAGTTGCTGGTTATGCATACAAACGGAATGAAATGTCTGGAAAACGAAAAACATAGTTTACGAACTCAAATCCAAGAAATCGATGATCTTTTGAACAGTCTCGACCGAGTCTCAACAGATTACAATGTGAATCAAAGCGGAAGATCTGATAAGGATCTGATCAAACCAAATCGAGGTTTTATTATGTATGGACCGCCAGGTGAGAAACCTTTGCTACTGCCCAGAGCACAATTTTCGCTTTTTCTTGTTCAGGTACTGGTAAATCTGATATCATGAGTAAATTATCAGCACGTACGGGTATTTGTATGGTAGCACCACCACTAGCTGCAGGTGAACTCAATCGATCATTAGTTGGTGAATCGGAACGAATCATTATCGATATTTGTATGCGTTGTCATCGCGTTCCGTATCTGATGTGTTGTGTATCCATCGATGAAATTGACTCGCTTGCACCAAAACGTACAGATGATAGTAAAGATGGAAATCTAGCAAAACTCAGTGTACTTTTGTCTGTTATCGATGGCATTAAAGATGTACCGAATTTAATGATATTTTGTGCGACAAATCGTTTGCATATGATGGATGAAGCATTTCTTCGTCGTATGTCGGGAAAATTCTTTGTTGGTCGACCATCATCTCAAGCCAGAAAGAACATTCTAAGTGGTATCAAACCTTGGCACATGCCAACAACTCTACTCGATAGTTTGACTATGGTCACTACNGTACTTTTGTCTGTTATCGATGGCATTAAAGATGTACCGAATTTAATGATATTTTGTGCGACAAATCGTTTGCATATGATGGATGAAGCATTTCTTCGTCGTATGTCGGGAAAATTCTTTGTTGGTCGACCATCATCTCAAGCCAGAAAGAACATTCTAAGTGGTATCAAACCTTGGCACATGCCAACAACTCTACTCGATAGTTTGACTATGGTCACTACAAACTTCAGTGGTGCTGCTCTCAGGTAAGTCATTCACATCGCACAACTCAGTCAACCACGTTTCCTATTTGATTGCAGAGCTCTACGTCGTCTTATAACGGTGTATTGTGTTGATATGAAACGTAGAAATCCTGCCTATCTATTAGATTATTCTACAATGCTTCGCTTAACTGATGTTACTGCTAGACAATATCGAATTTTCCTTGGTGCAGAAACATTACCAAACGTCATCGCACGTAGCGTGGTGGATAATGATACACCGATCAATAACCAACAATTCAACGATCTAACGTATCGCAATAATTCGATCTATACAGGTCGAATTCTGACCAATTTAAATACCGCTAACATCGATATTGAAGCTGTTGAAACAAATCCCATCACAGGAGAATCCAAAAAGATTGTCTACCGATATGCATTACTTGACTCTGAAACTATCTTACAGGGATTATTGGAACGTTTAACAACCTATGGGAAATTACGTAACGTTCAACTTCTTCAACTCGTCGATCTTAATCTTCTATCAGCCGAAAGTGCTCACGATGAAAAACAGAAGTTTGAAACATTGAAAGAACGTTTAGATGAATGTGGTGCTTATCGTCGTTCGATGATTGTTTATGATTTAGATTCATTAGTTGGTATTAATCGAAGTGAAGGCAATGCTTCAACTGGTCGAACAACAAATTTTTCTTTGATTAATCATAATATTTACACGCATATCAAAGACAAATTTCAAAACACGTATGTTCAACATTCGACTAATAATTCCACTCAAGATACCGAAGAGAAATGGTCAGTTGTCTTCATCTCGGATGCATTTTTACTTCGTCAATTTTCCGATGATGTCAAGTTTACTCGGCCACAAAGTGAAATTGATGAAGAACAAGCTGAAGAATGTCGAGCTAACCAGCAGATTTTGTGTGTTCAATGTGATGATTATTACATTGAACAAGACAATCGAATGGGAGCTTGTGCACATCATAACGGATTCATTTATGATGTTTATTCGGTAGACTTGGCTATATGTATTCGAAAACGTGTCATTGAAAACCTATTAGACGAAGAATCGCGATTCAATGGTAGACTCAATCGTAATCCTCCAACACAGGAAGAAAAGGAAAATTTTGAACGGCAAAAACATCGATTCAGATATATCTGTTGCGATCAAGTTCTTCAAATTGGTGGTGCAATGAGTGGATGCAAACGAGGCAAGCATAGTGAACGAAATGTCACTCGTGAACATTGGGAAACAACTTGTGATAGAAATCAAGAATATCGACGCANAGAATCGCGATTCAATGGTAGACTCAATCGTAATCCTCCAACACAGGAAGAAAAGGAAAATTTTGAACGGCAAAAACATCGATTCAGATATATCTGTTGCGATCAAGTTCTTCAAATTGGTGGTGCAATGAGTGGATGCAAACGAGGCAAGCATAGTGAACGAAATGTCACTCGTGAACATTGGGAAACAACTTGTGATAGAAATCAAGAATATCGACGCAAAAGATTGGCACTGCTTGAAAAACGAGCTCATTAACTATAGGAATTCTCACTTTAGTTATTAACTTCATTTGTTTTAGAAATAAGCAAGAACGTTTCCATTCCGCTGCGAAGTGTTGCGAATCAATTTGAGATAAAACCCTGTTTCCTTATTAAAAAATTCGATGATGTTTTATATTCGTTTTTAAAAATATACGCAGAAAATATATTTTGTCCAAATTATTAATGACAAAATGTGAAATCGTGGTACTGTGAGGAATACGACAGAGACAGATCACTGAGAGACTTCGCTTGTTCTATTCGTCAAAAGACATGAACTATAGCTACAGTAGTGCCGTACGTTTCTAGCAGGCCTAGATGGTCACTGCGAATAATATGACACCCGTCATTTGTAGACTAAATATAAAAGGATTGTATTCATAAGATTAAGTCTAAAATAAGCAATTTTGAATGACTCCATTACGTGTTTGGGAGTTCATGTCGAGATACACGAATTTAAACATTCGAGCGAGAAGGAATGATAAGTGTTGTTAATCTCTTTGAGAACACGATGCAAAAATATGTTCAGATATGATAGTACAAAAGTTCGCCTGTTTCGGTTAACATGTAAGTCGGATTTCTCCCCAGCTACATCTGCCGAAGTAGCACTTTTGCGATCGGCAACACAGAAGATAGCAAAAAATACTGCAGGATGAAATATGAGTAATGTTATGTCGCTTTAGTGTGTACTAAGTGCCATACCGAGCGTAGCATGAGAGACGTATGGATCTGGATTGTGAAGACAGTGAAACAAAATTTCTTGCGTAGCAATTTTCGTTAATACGATGCTGGAAATTATGAGACAATGTGACAGTTGAAGACTACGATGTTCGAATTCTTGATGCAGAAGTTTCGAACTCATCGAATTGAATTAACGATTATTACGCTACGCGCTGATGAAAGGTTTATTTGATTTCAAAACAGTGAGTTTTCTTCAGGAATAGCCATGAATACTGATGTTTGGCACAGCAGTTGTTATCACTTTATACAGAGATTACTTGTGAATTAAGAGAGAATACTTTAGTTTAGCGTACTTCACAAAAGTGTCTTTTTGATAATGTTTTTATGGCAAAAAAGAACTCAACATGTTCATGATATTATCTCATAGACCCGACTATCGTGTATTCGGGGAAATTCCATCGTAGGCATTTATCAAAAATGAAATCAACAATAGCTGCTGCACAATTCGTAGTAAACAACACGATCTTAGGCAATAAGAAGAAACGTAAACCGTATTAAAATTAGTTTTGCCTATCTCTGAACTTTTTTCAATGAAATCAGATTAGTTGTATATGGCATGTCAAGTGGCACTTTCAAAATAGTATAACACAAGTGAAACTATAGATCAGCAGAAGAAAAAGAAAAATTCCAACATGTACGTAACGCATGCGATGTTGAAGAGACAATATTTTGATTAAAAGAAACCAATAGAACAACATGAACCGTGTAAGATCGAACGAAACTAAGCAATATGGGTATGTCTGACTCAAATTCGATATAATCATCATTATTTATCGATAATCGAACTGAAGATCAGAATTCAGATCTTCATGGACTTTCATTCGATGCAAAATACGTCATCTGCACTTCGATTGAAACGGTGCCATTATACTATTTCCAAAAGATTATGCAGAACCCTATAAAATACCTTACTAGAAAGCTATGGGGGAAATACTTCAGTGTTGGAAAGAAATCTTTGCACTTTACTGTGAAGTGTGTAAAAAATACAGTTGGAAAATTCCAATCACAGAGCATTCGCATATAAGATTCTATTCTACCATTTGGTATTATATCTACTTGCCAAGATGACTGATCACATTAACGCAGAAGACGATATCATCATTTGTTTGCGGTCGATTCATAAAAGCAAAAGCTATATAGATCAATTACAAACAGATAGAATAGATGTCTACGAATTCGATGATGTTGACGAGTGCGTTGAGTATCTCCTAACATTAAATCATGAAGATCTTTTTGTTTTTCTATGGCTTGGCTTCGGCTGGAATCATCTCATTCCTATTCTATATGATTTGGAACAAGTTCCTTGTGTCTATCTTAGTGAGCCAGTAGATCTAAAAGACACATCTCAGGTTCATGGTGTATTTACTGATGCTGAAGAATTGTTGAAACGGACGTACGCATTTGTCACCGAGATTTGTCGACACATTTGACTATACTGTGTGATGAAGATATGTCAACTATTCATAATCCACAAGGCAATGCTATTCGTTCTCTATGGTCTGAAATACTTTTACAAGGACTCATTCATATGCCTCCACCTTCTAATGATGTGTATAGAGAAATGATCAAGGAAGCGCGCTTTTTCCATCGAAAAAATCCAGTTCACCTTGGTAGTCACGCGATTCATTTATCTATCGTCTAGTTAACAAGGCTCTTCGAATTCAGAATTTGGCTATTCTCTTTAAATTCCGATTTTTCATTCGTGACATGTGTGAACAATTGAAACAACTATATCTTCAACAGTATTTCCATGAACAAACTAAAAGCAGTGAGTATCGTTTTCTATTCATGCGATGGGTTACAAAGTGACAATATTACGAATATTGTTTCGTTTGAAATGATCTCTAGAAGAACCATCAGCAGTAAAAGTGTATCGTGCAATGAAAGAACTATAAACATTCATTTTGGATATAGAACTACGATACGGAGAAAATGAAGAGTTTCATGCAGATGCCTTGATAGATCTTCTCTTCGGAACTGACGGCCGAAAAGCCGAAGAAGTACTCAAATTCTGTAAATCAGGACGAGGATGTATCATGAAGAAATTCTGTGATCTAATAAACCAGATGTCCGATTCTGTCTTGGCGTCAACGTTAACACTTGATGCAAGTCGGAACGCCATACTTGAATTGCTCACAATGCTGAATGAGTACTATCAGAAACTTGGTGCCGACCGAAATCTGTCAAAAAATGAACAAAATTATCTATCATCAATACAAGAAGTCTTCCTTACCGCTGCCAGTTTGTTGAATAACATAGACTACATAGACAGTTTAGAGCAGCTTTTAAAACAATCTTTATTCTCTGCTTTGTCTTCCAACTTACTTTCCAATTGAATATCAACATCGACTCCTTCGTTGAATCCAGTGCAACATCACCCACCTGTCCTATTGTGCGCAATAGCAACTGCTCGTCGCTTTCTCTTTTGAGTGAGATATCTCAAGATAGGAGCATACTCAATATTGGTGCTCCATTAATTCAAACCTTAGAGTATTTTCAAACTTTTGGACAGCCGCCATTTCGTGAAGTCTTCGAGTTGGCTATTACATATTATCAAAATATTATCGAAAGTTATGATTTATCACCGAACTCATCAGCACTTGTTGATTTACATCGTCGTACTGGCTAGCGTTTTGCTGAAATGAATGAGAGAGAGTTAGTAATGTTCTATTACCAGAAAGCTCAACGTCTGTCAAAGCAACACCATTTATCAACTGACCCTGCCTGTTCCAAACTTCAACTTTCAATCGGTTCCCTAAAATAAAAATAACGTCGGAGAAACTGAGCAAAGCGTTATCGGGGTGAAGGTAGCACTACTTAGTTCACACCAAAGATCGAAAAACTCAATAAAAAATTGTACACAAACGAAATCCCATCCGTTAAAACTAGTTCATCTGCATCAAATGGTGCTGCCGTGACACTGACAAAAGTCCTTTTTTTTTAATTTGTTTCATATTGTTGAAAACAAAAGAAGTATAATACATTTCAACTACAAAAACTCGTAGAAGAATATTTGACAAATGAATATGAAAACAAGGAATCGACTGATATTAAGTTTGACATATCAAAAAATTCTACAAAATACTCCGTCGTTCTTCGACGGGAAAATAAATCCAAGAATTTGAAGTTGCCTTTAAATGATCGATTCTTCATTTTGATTTTCACGATGAGATGAAAAGAAAATCTTTTTGTAAATTTGAACACATTTAAGATTCCATTTAACTGATGAATTGTCTCTATGTTGATTATTCTCAATCTACATGAATAAAAGAACATTCATCAGTAGATCAAAATAAAAGAGATTCGAATAATTCTAAATCTTACCTCTATTTTCTTTTTATAAATCCAATCTCTTTTATAATATCTGATCAAACAGTAAATAAGTATAATCAACATGAATCCCCCAATAGGTAGAAGTACAATACTAAAACCAATGAGGCATGTGATATTTAAAATACTCCAGAATGAATCTGAATCCGGACGTTTCTAGACAGTAAAAATCAAATGAAATTTTCAAAGTTTTTCATCAAGATATTCAGAGAACAGTTTGACTTTCATTCTCAAGTGAAGATTGACTTCTGGATTTGTATTTACTATTTCGTTTTCTTATTGTGTCATTGTCATTTAGTTAATCTATGAGGAATGAATTCAAATCATATCTATACTTACTAATGTATTGATGGCAGTTGCAACGAAAACTATGGGAATGAAAACGAGCATGACGGCGGCCATTAAAAAATATCCGACGGGACAATGAGGAGCAAGGATGTATTGTTTATTTATTTCATTTGAGTTTGTCTTTACATAAAAGTTAAAAAAAAGAAGATTTAATTTTACACAAAACAAATTTTTTTTGTAGCGACGGAAAGCTATGTTTTATGTGTTAATAACATCTCGTCAATGCTCACGATTAGTTTTAGGTTCTTCTGTTTTCTATCGATCGGAGAAGAAAACCTTTCTTCCCAAGATTCTTTGTGAGATATACAATGATTTTATCAGATCATCAATCGGACGAGATCTTTTTTCGAATTTACAATCAACGAAATCTATTGAGCCTTTTTGACCGGACGTTGTCAGATGACAACATTTTCCCATAGGGAGTACGACAGTTTTTAAATAACTGGTCGAAGAAATTGTCATTAAACATAAAGATCTTGAAGAGAAAAGTCCGTTTTCGATATACTTACGGTTGTAATCTGATTAGTTTCATCAGCCATTATTGAATATATGAGAGAAAAAGTAAGAAATAAATCGAATGTAGATCAATTGGCTCCGATCGATTTCGATGATAAAAGAAATTTTGAGTAGAAAATGTTCAATAGCAAGATAGCATCGCTCAATTCATTATGAATCTTCAGAAATAAAGAGAAGAGAAGAGAAAATACTCATGACAAAATGGAAAATTTGTCGAATGAGAAAATGTTCAATAGAGGGCGGAACAGTTCATATGCGTATTCGATTTATTGTCATCGCATTTGATGTGTTGATTATCTAAAGTTGTATCAGACATTGAAATATAAAACATTATCTCAATTAATAATACCATTCGACTATTGCATTACATAGAATATTTTCTGTTGCATATTTTTTTATTAAATAGAAATAATTTAATGGCAACGAAGAATAGAAAGTCCGAGTTTATTTGAATTTGTTCTATGATCTATGTTCTTTTCTATCCCAGTCATCTGTTTGTCATTTGAAAATCTCTCTACTATTTTGTGTCCATATCATTAAAAAGCTGATTAACAGTATTTTTTTCAAGAAATAACAGCAAGTCGAATGTATGCATTTGAATGAAAATAAAGTTAAAATTCGAAATGATTTTCTGGTTTGAAATGAAAAAAAAACAGATTTAATCTTGCCAAGTCAAATACAATTTAATTTCTATTTGTATTTCATATCCACCAATTATCAAGATTGGATACTTTGCAACAAAGAAATCTTTTCTAGTTATTATTTGATATTTTAAATATAATTTCGAAAAACTTTGCGATGCTTTATCATGAACTTTTGAAAGACTTTTATTTCAATGGCTTTATTCGAAGAAACGACTAATAACATGATTCCCCTCTGAAACTTTCGAAATAATCAGTCTATCGTTTAGTATTCATTCTTTCGTAGAAATAAATGAAAAAAGAATGTCAAAATCGACGCACAGTGGAATTATTTTCTGACATTCAATTATTAAAAGAATAAATGAACATTATCCTTCACATATTGAAAGTAAATTGATATGTTAAAAAGACTTTTATCCAATTGATAATATCGAAATATTCGTAAGATTAATCTAAGTGGACATATCCACGTGACCGTAAACACAAGAAAAGAAGAGAAAGAGAAAATGATTTACGATTGTCCCCGCACTGTCCTATTTCATTATAAAGAAAAGTTTTAGTTCGCACTGTATTCTTTTTCGTTTCTTTTCGTATATCATATCTGATTCGTATAAAAATACCCAACTATTCATATTTAGTACGAAAAAGATCGTTCATTAGTTGAATACAATGTCTGCCGATCAAATACCTGATTTTCAAGTAGTAGAATGTTTTGATTTGATGGTTAATAAATGTATTGCAAAGGAACGCAAGATTGGAAAACAAACAGGAAAATTAATTGAGTTTATTTGGAAAATAATTGAATTAGTACGAATTATCGTCGAAATTGAAATATGATGATGATTTCATATTTGTTTTATAGGTTGTTATCATTGCATTTATTGCAATTCAGTTAACAATACATTTTATTGTGATTTCACCAAGTGCTCAATCATGTGAAGATACGAAACGAATTTTCCTTTACATCAATCATCAGAGTGTTATGATCACATTCTTAATCACATATGGTGTGAGAGTGTTAGTACGACTTGTTTTCCTTATTAAAACTACGAAGATTAGTGAAATGAAAATCTTTCTGAAAAAGGTAAACGAACGATTTATTTGACTTAAATCGAATGAATTTTTCTTAGGAACAACCAAAACGAGCTCTGTTTGGTTTCGTAGTGATTCTTCTATCAATATGGGGATTATTTATTAACTCCATGTCGCTGCAAATACTTTCACTCCAGTTATTATATGTAAGTATCGTGTTGAAAAAATATGAAAAACTCAATACATGATAGTTTTTCATAGATGATCTATGTTCTATTTGGTGCAGCGATTTTCTGTTCTGCAGTGGTCAACAAGAAGCTGGTGATCACTGATCCAAGACAGCCTGATCAGACTACAGCCATTGTTCAATTCAACCATCTCACTTCGTTGACCATTCATTTCCAACGCCACATATACGTCGAACAATTCTTAGTCGATACGAAGACTTTGTTACCGAAACTTACTCATCTGATAATTTCCTACGACAATTTACGCCTGGTCACAGATGACTTTACACGTGCTGATACTCGTCGAAATTGTTCCAAAGTTCAAAGTTCAATATTTATTATTTCCACCGTTACAGTACATTCCTAGGAATTCTATTCCTATTTTCCTTGTTTGAAATAATCCCATATTACCATTTCACACGGAATACAGATTCAATCTGTTTACAAAATCTCAAACTAGTTTGCTGATAGTCATCGCCACCCGAGAGAAGTTTTTCATATAGTTGTAGTTGATTGGAAAACATCGACCATATATAAATATGAAGTGCGTTTGGATTTAGCAAAAATTAGAGGACTGTTGCCATTGAATACTTCATTTTCTCTCTCTAAACACTACGATCGCGAGGAACGTCTCCTACGTTCATGAACGAAAAGTGTATCTTTCTATATACTGGAAATACAAAAGCATACTTTGTTTGTATGTAAATAGTCGTCCTGATCTCTTTTCGCTCATATAGTTTGTATCAACTGCAGGAAGGTACTGTTGTTGGTTCAAATATGGCAAGTCGATATCTGCCGCAAGAAACTAATGTGCTTCTTCATTCTTTTCAATGATGACGATAAAAAAACTGTTCAATGTTTATTCGATCTTTGTAATCCAATGAATATAGAGTCCCCTAAACTATATTGGAATTCGAATGAATGTCGTTGATCGTTCTAAATGAACTCATTTGCTTTTCAGTTCGAGATAAGTTCCACCAGTTTCCTTGTGTTTCACCAGTCGGATTGCAGATCCGTTCAGCACTGTTCTTAATCATATCGTTTACAAAGTGTACTCCGTCGATAATGAGTATTAATAGGGCTAAATAGCGTCAACTGAAGTTAAAATTGTATATTTTTATGTAGTTAGAATTCATAGATTCATCCAGGCTTATCGATTTATTCCATTTTCTTCAAAAAAATGTTTGTTTATTCTTATCACAAACAACTACCAAAACACTAAGATATATGAAGATAATTCATCAACAATGATTACAGGTAAAAACTATGGTGCACTACTTGAAGCACATGTTGACTAAAATAAGAAACTAAAATACGAAAAAAAATCGTTCCACGAATAATGCGATAATTGCTTATTTTCGTTTCATGATGACGTTGGATTCTAAACCCCAGGCCGATTATTCCGGCGACTGGATCCGTTGAAATCTGAGTCGGTTCCAGCAGATTCCTTGCCGCCGGATTCCGGTCGGAATTGGACAGGAAATATCCGATCAGTTCCTGACCGTTTCCAACTCGAAGTTTGCAGGAAATGACTGGAACCTACGTTTGAACTTCCGGTGGCAAGGAAATGGTCGGAAAACGAACCTAACCGACCGTGCCATAATAACCTGGGACCGAGACAAAACAAACGAAATCAATAGAAAATAGATGAATCTATTGAAATAAAGCAGCCACCGTACCAAGATGGCATGTCAACCGCGCATGTGTCGATACAAAATTTACTCAAGTCTTAGAACAAAGAAGCGTATCGTTTGAAGTGATTATCCTGATTTTGACACAGCGTGACACACTAACGGTACATATGTTTAGGGATGTCCCGAGGTCGAGACTCTTGATCTCAGTATATTTCTACATGTACCATTGATGTGCTATATTAACACGAGTGTTTTATCAAAAAAGCCCAAAACAGTCACCGATTTAGTTTTCCGCCGATTAAGTGTATTATCGGCGCTGGTCGCGTTTGGTGCACAACATACATTCCTACAACAGTCGATGCTAAAATAAAATTTATCTTCTTCTAAAATGGAGCCACATCGTTTTCCTAAGAAATTTCTAACGAAGTGGAATAGTTCGGCTCACAAAATTTGTTCGAATAAGAATGTAGGGGAAAAAATCAACATTAACTTGTTTAGTTATAAGACAAACAAATTTTTGAATACTATATCTTCAAGGCAGCCTTGCTCGCTCAGAAGTAAGCAAGCATCGATGTGCAGACTTTTCGATTCTATAGATACACGAACTAACTATTCACACTTACGTTTATTTTCCTTCCTTTTCTCGCTTATCTGGTATTTCTTTTTCCACACCTAAAATGTCGATTTTTGTTTGTTCGACAAGCTGATTGCGCCGTTCGGCTTCTGTGAGAGCTGCGGCTGCTTGGCGCTGCTCATTAGCCAATTGCTCTTCCAATTTCGTCTTTTCTCGTTCTAAATCACCTAACTAAAAAACCAAATCGTCTTGATTTCAAACAAATGAATAGCAAGAAAATGAATAGTCTTACTGTTGGATTAAGTTCGCGGTTTTGTTCTTGTTCATTGCTAGCCATTGAATGATATTGAATTTGTTTTATCTGTAAATGAAGGTATCATATTATATACTTTTCAGAGTTTCAGTTGTCACATTAGCTGGCAAAACATTTGAAATCGAAGATCAGAGGTCTGGGGTGTAAATAAGACTCAGAAAATACTTCAGCAACAAGAAATTCTGACAGTTTCACCAATGTTTCGCAGTGTTCGAATGTACTTGAAGTCAGTATTTGAGAGTTATATATATATTATTTTGTCTTCGTTCCGATAAAACATACGTACATGCTTGTCTTTTTTCACATTCTCTTCAAACGAGTATCTGGCATTCTTCGATCAAATGCTCACGTGTGCACATTAACACTTTTTGCGTTTTAATAATAGACGTCAAGTAAAGTCATTTTCAAAGGATAAACTACCAGTATTAAAACAAATTCATTGTCAGGAAAGACAAAAGTACTCAGCTGAACAATTAACATAGAAACGGATAAGAAAAGGCACTATCGAAAAGTAATACTTTAATAAAAAAATAAAATAAACATATATAAGTAATGAAATCGAAAAGCACCCAAGAATTCCAATTAAGACTATGAAAGAACAACCCTTGTTAGTCTTTTCATGAAAAAGTCCCAAGTTATTATGGCACGGTCGGTTCCGGCCGGAAGTTCAAACGTAGGTTATACTCATTTCCCGGCCGTTTCCTGCAAACTTCGAGTTGGAAAGGGTCAGGAACTGATCGGATATTTCCTGTGCAATTCTGGCGGTAAGGAACCTGCCGGAACTTACTGGAATCGAGAAGAGCTGTACCGGAACCGACTCAGATTTCAACGGATCCAGTCGCCGGAATGATCGACCTGAGCATGGGCAAAATGCTGAATCAATTTAGTCCTTCGATTGAAGATTTACATCAATTAAGAGAACAAATTGCGCATTATTTACGATCGATTGAAGATTAAATTTTTATTGAACGATATTTTCTTTGCTGTCTTTTCTCATATCTCATTTTTATCTTATCACTTGATTTGTATTCTCTATTGTCTAATGGCACTTTCTTTTCTTTCTTATGTTAAAACATATTCCTTCGCACATGTGTAGGATGTATTAGAAAAAAAAGAAGAGTGCACAACAGAAAAAGTAAATCACATTCTATTTTAACATGATAGTACGATTGTTGATTTATGAGAATGACTATCGGATTCGAAACGTATTCATTTGACTTTACATCAAACAAGAAGCACTTTCTTTGTATATGTATACTTTTCCCAAAACATGTTTTTTGGAAGACTATCACGAAAAGATTGATCTCGATGACAATTTTCTCCCGATGAAGTTTATTCGTATACGGATGTGAAAGATGAGGAAACTATATCTTCGCAATTTTCATTGATATTAGTTATTTCTATTTGCCAAGATGATCAAGTAAATTTCATATTATAGTAAGAATGAAGACCTTTGAAGTTTGGAAACACAACGCAAATAATTAAGACTTTTCAACTTGAGATGCTCGATAAATAAAATGGTTTTTCCGATTGTTGTCCTCGAACTATGGGATTTTATCACAATCTATTCGATTTTCAAGATTGGAGATGTCTTTGAAGAATTTTCGTATATGATCACTTCCCTTTTATCCTTCTTATGTTCAAAATCCATATGAAAAGATCATTAGTTATAAGAACATATTTATTCGTAAATGCGGCCTGACAAACTTTAAAAAATCATGAATATTATGCATAACTCGTTTACAGTAAGTAGAAAAAGCACTTGACATAATCGGTGTGAAGCTAGCACCATTTAGCTAGCACCGTCAAACTAAGGATTTTCTGAAAACGAATTCCGGTCGATGAAACCGAGTGTATTCGATGCAGAATTTAATTCTGAGTCCAATGGTGACATTTTTATTCACCGGAAAACGTTCGGAGAAAAATTTTCTTTGATCTTTCTTTATCCTCGACACATGTGTATGCATCATTTTTCGGCCGTCGGCACGCAATATCTCTGTCCAGAACGAATTCCGGTTCATGGAAANAGAGGTCTGGGGTGTAAATAAGACTCAGAAAATACTTCAGCAACAAGAAATTCTGACAGTTTCACCAATGTTTCGCAGTGTTCGAATGTACTTGAAGTCAGTATTTGAGAGTTATATATATTATTTTGTTTCGTTCCGATAAAACATACGTACATGCTTGTCTTTTTTCACATTCTCTTCAAACGAGTATCTGGCATTCTTCGATCAAATGCTCACGTGCGCACATTAACACTTTTTGCGTTTTAATAATAGACGTCAAGTAAAGTAATTTTCAAAGGATAAACTACCAGTATTAAAACAAATTCATTGTCAGGAAAGACAAAAGTACTCAGCTGAACAATTAACATAGAAACAGATAAGAAAAGGCACTATCGAAAAGTAATACTTTATTAAAAAAATAAAATAAACATATATAAGTAATGAAATCGAAAAGCACCCAAGAATTCCAATTAAGACTATGAAAGAACAACCCTTGTTAGTCTTTTCATGAAACAGTCCCAGGTTATTATGGCACGGTCGGTTCCGGCCGGAAGTTCAAACGTAGGTTACACTCATTTCCCGGCCGTTTCCTGCAAACTTCGAGTTGGAAAGGGTCAGGAACTGATCGGATATTTCCTGTGCAATTCTGGCGGCAAGGAACCTGCCGGAACTTACTGGAATCGAGAAGAGCTGTACCGGAACCGACTCAGATTTCAACGGATCCAGTCGCCGGAATGATCGACCTGGGCATGGGCAAAATGCTGAATCAATTTAGTCCTTCGATTGGAGATTTACATCAATTAAGAGAACAAATTGTGCATTATTTACGATCGATTGAAGATTAAATTTTTATTGAACGATATTTTCTTTGCTCTCTTTTCTCATATCTCATTTTTATCTTATCATTTGATTTGTATTCTCTATTGTCTAATGGCACTTTCTTTTCTTTCTTATGTTAAAACATATTCCTTCGCACATGTGTAAGATGTATTAGGAAAAAGAAGAAGAGTGCACAACAGAAAAAATAAATCACATTCTATTTTAACATGATAGTGCGATTGTTGATTTGTGAGAATGACTATCGGATTCGAAGCGTATTCATTTGACTTGACATCAAACAAGAAGCACTTTCTTTGTACAGTAAAACCCCTTTTAGTGAACACCCCTCCTTAGTGATCACCCTGTTATACTGAACACCTTCCGGTCCCACCGAGCAAATTTTGCTGGTTTTGACCCCCTCCTTACTGATCACTTCGCAATTCTGAATTGTGAACACTTTTTTCTGGTCCCGACTGTATGAATCACCCCCTCTACTGTGAACAACTATAGAGGGCGCCATTGATCCTAAAAGCGACACGATGCGTTTGATTGGTTTATTGTATGATTGGCGTGGTAAATAATGAAGAGAAAGAGGAGAGCATATCAGATACGTATAACATTCGATTTTGTGGTCTTTGTTTGTTGATTATGAACTGTTACTGATGGCATCGCGTCGAGAACTTTGTGCGGACGAAAAAATGAAGCTAATCAAAACTAACTGACGCATTCCTTGACTCAAATTTATCAAAGCAAAAACCAATCTTCGATTACTTCAAGTGTACATCTGTTGGTCCATAGCATCAAACCCTAGGATTTTATAATCTTTTTTCTCATGTTATCAATGAATAAAATAAATCTTATCTCGATACATCTCTATTGGCGAATACAAATAACTTAACGTATGATTTATGTAAAAGACACTTGGTCTGCGTATAACCCCTCCTAACTGATCACCCCGTCAATGTGAACGATTTTGAAAAGTCCCACGAGTGTTCACCGTAAAGGGGTTTTACTGTATATGTATACTTTTCCCAAAACATGTTTTTTGAAAGACTATCACAAAAAGATTGATCTCGATGAAAATTTTCTCCCAATGAAGTTTATTCACATACAGATGTGAAAGATGAGGAAAACTATATCTTCGCATTTTCCATTGATATTAGTTATTTCTATTTGCCAAGATGATCAAGTAGATTTCATATTATAGTAAGAATGAAGACCTTTGAAGTTTGGAAACACAACGCAAATAATCAAGATTTTTCAACTTGAGACGCTCGATAAATGAAATGAGTTTTCCGATTGTCGTCCTCGAACTATGGGATTTTATCGCAATCTATTCGATTTTCAAGATATGAGATGTCTTTGAAGAATCTTCGTATATGATCACTTCTCTTTTATCCTTCTTATGTTCAAAATCCATATGAAAAGATCATTAATTATAAAAACATATTTATTCGTAAATACGTCTGACAAACTTTAAAAAATCATGAATATTATGCATAACTCGTTTACAGTAAGTAGAAAAAGCACTTGACATAAGTGTTTGCACTTTACTATGAAGTGTACAAAAAAATACAGTTGGAAAGTTCCAATCACAAACCACAAGTATATAAAATTCTATTCTACCGGTTCTGTTCACATCTATTCCACAAAATGACTGATCACATTAACGCAGAAGACGATATAATCATCTGTTTGCGATCAATGCATAAAAGCAACATCTATATGGATCAATTACAATCAGATGGAGATGGAATAGATGTCTATCAATTCGACGATGTTGACGAATGTGTTGAGTATTTCCTGACATTAAATCCTGAAGATGTGTTCGTTTTTCTATGGCTTGGCTTCGGCTGGAATCATCTCATTCCTATCGTATATGATTTTGAACAAGTTCGATGTGTCTATCTTAGTGAGCCAGTACATCTAAAAGACACATCAAAAGTCCATGGTGTATTTACTGACGCCGAAGATTTGTTGAAACAAATTGAAACGGATATCCGAATTTGTCACCGAGATCTGTCGACACATTTGACTATGCTGAATGATGAAGAAATGTCAACTATTCATAATCCACAAGGAAATGCTATTCGTTCTCTATGGTCTGAAATACTGTTACAAGGACTCATTCGTATGCCTGCACCTTCTACAGATGTGTATAGAGAAATGATCAAGGAAGCGCGCTTTTTCCATCGAAAAAATCTAGCTCAACTTCAACAAATCGATGATTTTGAGAAACATTATCGTGCTGAAGAAGCGATTAGATGGTATTCACGCGATTCATTCATCTATCGTCCAGTTAACAAGGCTCTTCGAATTCAGAATTTAGCTATTCTCTTTAAATTCCGATTTTTCATTCGTGACATGTGTGAACAATTGAAAAAACTATATCTTCAACAGTATTTCAATGAACAAGCCAAAAGCAGTGAGTATCGTTTTCTATTTATACGAGAGATTACAAAGTGACAATTTGTTCTTTGAAATTGTCTCTAGAAGAACCATCAACAGTGAGAATGTATCGTGCAATGAAAGTCTCATCAACTGAATACAGTCGTCTTCGATCTTGTGCACCTGGAACAATTATCTCGATAAGTTCATTCGTATCAACATCATGCAATCCAGATGTTGCAGTTTCATATTTGGGAAATGATTTAGAAAGAGACATCATGCTTGAAATTGAAATTGATATAAAATCACTCAATTCGGATGTTTTGCCTTTTGCTGACATTCACACATTTAGTGCGATGCCAGATGAAGACGAAGTGTTGTTATCGATGGGAACCACTCTGATAGTGGAGTCTGTCACAGCGAATCCTCAATATAAAAATATTTGTGTCAAAACTAAGCTGCGTTACGACTTAGATCCTCAAATGAGAGAACTAAAAACATTCATTTTGGATATACAACTACGATGCGGAGAGAGTGAAGAATTTTATGTGGATGCTTTGATCTGTCTTCTCATCGCAACTGATCGTCAAAAAGCGAAAGAAGTATTCAAATTGTGTAAATCAGGACGAGGATGTATTATGAAGGAATTCTCTGATCTATCGGACCAGATGTTAGATTCTCTCATTCCGTCGACGTTAACAGTTGACACGTCTGGGAACGCATTGACTGGACTGTTCACAAGGACGGCTGAGATCTTTCAGAATATTAATGCTACCGCAAATCTATCAAAAAACTCACAAGATTTCATTTCATCAGTACGAGAAGACTTCCACGACATTGCCAGTTTGTGTAATGGCATAGACAACATAGACGATTTTGAGCAGCTTTTAATGCCATTAACACGCTGTATTCCTTCTGCTCAATCGTGGTTAAATTCGCTACCGATAGGGTTTCCATCTTTGCATCCAATTCAACATCAGATGCAGTTAATGATAAGTATGCGAAATGTCTTGGAAAGCAATAGTACTGGAACGCTGAGTCGTTTTGAAACTAGCCAAACATCACCCATCGCTGCTATTATGCACAATGACTGTTTGCTAACTTTTCTTTTGACTGACGTGCTTCAGCATAAAAACGTACTCAATATCAATGCTCCTTTGATTGAAAACTCAGAGAATTGTCAGACGTTAAGAAAACCTCAAATCTATGAAGTTTTCAACTTGGCCAATAAGTATGACTTGCAGAAGGACTGGCCCTTAGCTATTGGATATTATCAAAATATTATTCAGAGTTACGATTTACCACCTAATTCATTAATGCTTGTTGACTTGTATTATCGCATCGGTTTATGCTTTGCTGAAATGTATGAGAGGGAATTGGCAATGTTCAACTATCAGAAAGCTCAACATCTGTTGGAGCAACATCATCCACCTACTCATCCTCTTTATGATGATGTAAAACTTGCAATCCGTAAACTGCAACTAGGAATACAACTGCAACAATTAAGGCAGCAGTTGACTAGTTTCATAAACTATTTTGAATCATGATTTGTGTATTCTTTTGTTTGCACAATTTTCATTTCGCAGTTTTATCGCGTTAAAAGGCACTGCTCCTGTATATGATTCTCTTGTATTATCGCTATGGGTTTTTCGATGGCAACGATTGGTGCGAAAATAATCATTACATATCGATTTAAATAATAAATAATTTTTTTCTAAAAACATCAACAGTTAAAAAAGGATAATTTCATTAGAATTAGTGTCTCGAAACAAGAAAGTTCGATTGTTTTTAAGAAAGAGGGCGACACATGTATCACAACGAATTAATGATTCACCTCTATATGTCTCTTTATTGTCGATAAAAAGATTTGTTAGTTTATTTATTTGTGAGAAACGTGTAAAAAAGAAGTATCATGTCTGGTCTCGCTTTTGAACAACCAACTGGTGGATTTGTCTTTGACAATTGTCGACGGTAATCATTTGTTTATTTCTGATTTTTTACATTTGGAAATTTCTGTATAGAAACGAACTTCTGTTGAGCAATGGCGTTTTGCCCGGCAAGATTCACAAGACCGGTACCACCATTGCTGCAATTACATACAAAGTATGTTAATATCGTATTCAATAAAAGCCAAATATATGTTTTTTTAAACAGGATGGTGTTGTTATTGCTGCTGACAGTCGATGTACTTCCGGAACGATCATTTTTGATGATAATGTCTTGAAAATCCATCGTTTATCCGATAATATTTATGCACTTGGTGCAGGAACAGCAGCTGATTGTGACTTTCAAACACGTTTACTTGAATCTCAACTTGAATTATTGAAATTAAATCAAGATCGACAAGTTCGTGTTGCAACAGCCGTTAGAAAAATCCAACAACATCTCTTTAGGTCTGCGTTTCTGTTTATTTGTTCACTTTTTTCATACCAATAATCCTTTTTTTCAGATACCAAGGTCATCTCGGTGCTTATTTGATCATTGTCGGTGTTGATGTAACCGGTTCGCACATTGCGACCGTTCATCCGCATGGAAGTATCGCATTTCTTCCGTTTGTTGCATCAGGTTCAGGTGGTTACACATCATTGTCCGTCATTGAAGATCGTTTCAAAGAAAACATGACCGTAAGATGCAAACCTTCCTGTTTTTCTTGCTAGAAAATCATATTCTTGTAGGAAGAAGAAGCCAAACAATTAGCCCGTGATGCTTTGTATGCATCAACAACAACTGATTTGTATTCGGGTAGTAGAATCAATATGTATGTCTTAACAAAGGAAAAACTGGACAAATTTTTACCATATGAAGTTGTTGGTGTCCGATCAGACAAGTAAAATCTAAGAGATTCATTTTGGACATCATTTTATTTGTTTTTGCGGTATTTTTTTGTTTAGACAAAATGATTATACGTTAGCTAAAGGAACAACGCAAGTTTTGTCAACAAATGTGAAAAAGATCGAATTCGATATCGTTAATGAGAAAGTCAAGACAACAACAGGAACACACGAAGCGATGGAATTAGCTTAAGAATTATTCAAAGAATAGAACTTTTAAAGCTCATTGTTTCTATTTAAACATGATTCAACAAAATTGAAACTTTCATCTTTCTTCTTCTTCTTCTTTTAAAAATAAATTTGATCTTGGATTCCAAATAGATCTCTAAACTACGAACGTTATGCTATGACCTTCACAGAAGAAAAACTTGAAATAGAGTAATCAGGAAACAATAAGCCGAACATTATCCATCTATTATAGTCTCCACTTATGGCAATCATCATAAATACGAAGGTTCTTTACGATTTGAATTCGCGATGGGACTGGCCAGTGAATAGAATGATATGTAATTGCCAATCTTTGATTATGACTGTTGAAAATGAGTGCGACAATTTCACCGAGTATCATCGTACGCGTTATCCGACTTGAATCGATCTGGTGATCATGTTCAATGAGTTCTTTTTCGATTCGATCTGGAAGAAATACATTTCTGCCATTATGTACCAATATGAGCAAACAATCCTCATTTAATTTCTCTCGGGCCAACTTTTAAGCCTATTAGCCATTGTGGGTGATGATCAAAGGATATACAGATACAGTAGAGGACATTTTGTTCTATTTATACACCCAACTTATGAAATCAGATGAACAACTTACAGTTCACAATGTTGATTTTCATTTCTCTGTTTTAATTTACACTGACGCGATTTCCGTCATTTTTGTCTTTCTTCAGCATGTGGATTTTTAATTGGGTTCATATAATATATATCTTCACCTCGAGAATCTTACACACATTGACCAGTTTACTACTATTATTAGCATCGTTTGATGAAAGTGAATGTGTGATGTTTTCACAAGATGCTTATTAATTTTAATTGAGAGGATATTTGGAATAAAGTAGATCTATAAAATTAAGTTCAGTAGTCAATCAGCAGCACAAATATCATTTCGATTGTTTGTACTAAGGCCAAATAAAGTGCGTTGAACATATTCTTCAGATGAATAAGATGTTGTCAGTTAGAAACTAGGCTATTTAATCTTTATTAAATATAATCGGCTTAACTAATAAATCATGATATTAAAAGAAGCGCATTGCAAAATACGAACTTTGTTCTTACGAATAAAATGTGTCAGAAGTTGGAGAACAACGCGTATCTATCAGAAAAATGATACGTGATTGATTAAATATGTATGACGTCAACTATTTTGCGATGAAATTACGATTACGTACGAGTTTTAATCATAGCTAATTAAACTGGTTAATTATATCCTATCTACGTAGAAGTGACTTAAATATTTTGACTGTTCGTTCTAAAAATGTAATGTTATTATCCACCGTTTCCTTCAATAAGCACATAATTAGAAAGAATTTTATTATGTTGCGCTTCGGTACTTTCAAAATTATCTGAAGGTGGCATCGCATTATTTATATATCAAAATAGATCATCCAAAATGTCCTGTAAAACATCAATATACAAAAGACATTGGATTTCTTATCAACGCTGCTCCGTTTAGCATTCAGTTGTTGCTCATATTTGCGTGCAAATGCTTCCTATGTACAATGAACTCTTCTACCACCACTAAACTCATTACAATACTTCCTACGGCTGTTGGTTGGTCGTTATCGAAATGAACAGAATGCATAAAAGATAATAATATCAATGAGAATTTCTGTGAACTGAAGACTTCACAACTTTTCCAGTGCAATAGTTTTCTCCAAAGACTTTTTAGTGTAAAACCGAGTATAAAAGAAAAATTGATCATGCTGACCTATTTTTCTTTTGATAAACAAAAGGAAACCGTTTATCTTGTCGTACGTCCTACAGTTAGAAAATATTTCGAGATTTAATGAGCGACGAAAGTCGTTAATATTAATTAACATCAAAAGGAAATATTTGTTCTAATAGGATCTACTATTAAAGACGAAAGGAGTTCCTTTCTCTCTCTCACCTTCTTCCTTTTCTTCTAGATCCACGTCAGATTAAAGCCTATAAATATAAAGACAAGAAAGGATCTCGTTTTCATTAAGATTTAATCTTTTTTAAAGAAAAATGCTGCCTACATCAAAAATTCTTGGAGTGTTCAACTGGTGTTTATGTTTTCTTGCTATTTCAATATATGTCTTGATCTTTGTGCTTGCAATCAAAGCTCATCGAAGTGTACGTGATATAGCATTACTATTAACCTATAATACATGTTTCGCAGCATTTTGTACATGTGCAGCATCAGCTATCATGATCGCTTCGAATTTATTCACAGGATTTTTAGTATCTAACATGACATTTTGTTATGTATGGGGTTTATTTTATGATATATGCGAATGTTCAGTGTATTTCAGTTATTGTTTGCAAGGCTTTTATCGTTTATGCCGTGTTGTATTCTACAAAAAGAAGTTTCTTGTCTCGCATTATTTATATATTGTATTAATTATTTGTCAGTGGACTTTAGTTCTCATTTTACTTGTTCCTCCAATCTTTATCAAATGGTATGCACGATTATCAACCGAATATTACTGTCTTATTCCTTATACATATATTGGACCAGAAGTTTACCATATTTTGGTGTTATATTTGATTCCATTAGGTTGTTTAGGAACTGTCTATGTCTGGATAACAACAAATATACGTAACATCTCTCGCACACCGAATCTTGCAATCGAAGCCATTCAACGACAAAGAAATCAACGAGATTTAGTTGTTATTAAACGAATTCTTTTCTTATTATCAATATTGATTGTTTTACGTTTTCCAACGGTGATCTTCATGGTCTACGGGATTGTTGTTGGATCGTTGTATCCATTAACATATGCTATCGTTGGTATAACAACATCAATGTGTTTGATAGTTATTGGTTTTATAACGATTAAAACAACAACAGAATTAGAGAAACAGTTTTTAAGTTTTTTCACTAATCGGAACAATCGCGTGATGACAGGACCAATACCAAGAAATATATTCAATCGTACAAATGCCGCAGCATGTATAAGAACTACATCGAATGGCTGATCAGTGGCGAAAACGAAAAAGACTAATGATCTAGTAAAGAATACACTTTTGGAAATTATCAGTTTCTTGTGTTTTACGATTTTGTTCACAAAAACATTTTTGACAAATCTCGTTTGCTATAAAGAATACTATTTATTGACATAATAAATGTTTGCGCTGTGTGAAAGATAAGGCCTATAAATTTTATCATAAGTTCACACATGCTCAATGGTGTTGTCAGTGCATTGCGCGAGTGCTTTTTCTTTCATTTACTTAAGTAAACTAGTTGAATATACTCTATGAGCAAAATTCAAATCTGACAAGAATCCCTAGGTACACTTGTTGCTGCTTCTGACGTGAAATGCTATTCGTATTATGAAGAATTATGCCCACATCCGCGGAATCTAATTGGGATCAAACAAACAACATCGCCAAGTAGTTGGGGTCTTGTAAATATAGTTTTTTTCAATTGTCCTTGGAATTTTATTACTGTTGTAGACGTTCACTCGAGATAATGCGATGTACGATAAAAAAAAATGTGAATGGCGTACAGATAAAAGAGGTGCATCGTTTTACTTTTGTTGTTGCAATACAAATCTTTGTAATGGACAAATTCAACTCAACGCAAATGTTTTTCTTATTTTTATAATTTGTTTTAGCATTTTTGCTTTGACGAGACTGTAGAGTAAATCGCCCTGTTACACAAAAACAAAGATCAAATAGTTGAATTTTGAAGCGAGCTTACAAAAATCACTGGCCTAAATAAAAAGGACGATGCCGGTAGCGAAAATGCTCACATTTTTTAAGACACGTGTCAGCGTAAGTAAAGTCAGGTCGTCGTGGTTTTTCTCCTATGCTTTCATATCCTTCAATGCATGAAGTTGCCATGTCATTATTTAATCGCATGAGAGGGAGAGAAATGCTAAAAGACACTAAGCCTGTGGCCCAGTTCATCTCTTGTTCTATAGAAAAAAAAAGGCTGCGAGTTCTCTCCGTATGTTGAGTCTCTCAAATGACTTTCACTTGGGTCATTTCAGTTATTAAAATGCTTCGATTTTTGGCAACGACGGGAAAAGGAACTCTTCGGCCGGTTCCTATCATTTACCATATGATTAGATCCGTGATTGGCGACATCTATCATTGTTTATCAGAATTAAGATATTTATTGGCAGTTTGGAACCAGGTTGAAAGAGAAGAAGAAGAATTTGTCATTCTAAAAGTGCTTCTTCAATAGAGATAAATCGATTTATTGAAAATTGTCTATTGATATCTAATTACAAGATTAAAGTACTAAGAGAGAGTATCGAATATTGATTTAAAAAATCTTTAAGTTATCGACGGCACGTGTCATTTGCCAATCGATCAATATTTTCATTGTACATATCAAAGAAAATGATGAATCATTTATAAATACTTTTTATATTCTTTACGGAATATTTCAGATGAAACCTTGAATGAGATCTGATAATGAAGAAAGAAATTTCATTGAAATCTATTGATCGTTTATTTTCTTCTCGTTTCCGTTGGTCAATCGTTGTCAAATGTATTTTATGTTTTCTGATTTTTTATCTCTTTAATCTTCTAACCGGTGTGCAATATTATGTTTGGTCAGAGAAATCGTTTCAGAATGAATATCATCTGACAATGACAAAGATCGATCTGAGAAAACTCAACGAGACTTATCCAGAAAAAACCTTGGGTGAACCGAAATTTATCCTTTCGAATGATTTTCTTATTAAAAATCAATATTTGTGTCACGGAGGAAGCGTTCCACCAGCCAATGAACCACGCCTACTGATCTTTGTCAAATCAGCAATTCAGAATCGACAAGCCCGACAAGCGATTCGGATAACATGGGCGAAAAAAGATTTTCTACAGAAAAATTCCGTCCGAGTGGCTTTTGTCCTTGGCATAAATAAAGAAAATTTTAACATTGATCAAGAATCGAAAGATTTTGGAGATATTATTCAAATTGATAAAATTGATTATTATTATTACAATTCATGTAAGTGAGAATTTCAAGACCTGGAAATGTCTATAAGAAATTGCCCAGAACAACTGACTGAGTTTCCTAGACGTAAAGATGTTTTTCGAGACAACTTTCACATTAGAGTAACAATGCCAAGCGAGACTCACCGAGTGGTACGACACTTCTGCACAGCATGCTTAAGTGAGAGTAATGACACGAAGTAGTACTGCGGTTTCGTTCTTAGTCAAAATTCGATCTACATAGTTTGGATTTGTTTAGATAAAATGGTAATGATGCTCCGTTGGGTCGATAAATATTGTACATCTAAATCATTCAATGAAAACTTATATAATTATGTGCTGTTTATTGATGATGATTATTATCTCGATCTGAATTCTTTACTAACATATTTGAATAAAATTGATCAAGATCCTCAAATGACGACCGAGGACCGGCGAACGTTTATAACTGGTTATGCTTATCGTGAGTCACGTCCACGGCGATATTTGAATGATCGTTGGTACATTTCTATGGATGATTATCCATATGATCGTTATCCGCCTTACGTCACAGCTGGATGTTTTCTAATGACGAGATCTAATGCACGTTTATTTCACATCGCCTCAAATTATATACGTTTATTTCGTTTTGATGATATTTATATGGGCTTATTAGCTTATTCAATGTCAATTCCAATAATTCCAAATAATGAGTTATTCTCATCGTACAGTTCGTCGATAGTTTCATTCGATAATCAAACCGGAGGATTGTTTACTAAATGGAAGACGTTTTTCAGTCAGCAAATAGATATGCGATCATCGTTAAGACCAATTTGTATTCATGGATATCGTGGAAATGACTTAATTCAGATATGGAATCATCTTTACTCTACAAATTTAACTCTTTCAGTGCTCTACTGATACCCAGAACAAAGATCTTATTTTTGTCAGATTCAACTTTTTATTTTCTTTCAAAAGAGAAAAATACATCTTATCGAGGGAATATCTATCATTTTCTAGATGATTACTGATCTAAAATGAAAACAAATGATTTTATCTGTGGAATTATCGAAGGTAGACAGAACAGAATGTTAGGTCAGAGATGAAGGTTGGTGTATTTAGGTTATTATGGTCGTCCTTGGTCGTTCAACCAACGCAAGAGTCTTTTTGAATAGTTTGTATCGATGTTTTTCGTGTAAATCTTGTTAAATTGAGATGTTTAGTTGCTTAAGAT